AGTTGAAGCTTTTCTCTTACAAATCTTGGACCTGTCAAAATACAGGAAAGAGTGGGAAACCATGAAAAATGGAAATCAATTAAGATAGTGAGATCTGCTGGACTAGGAAAGAAGAGCAGCAGAAATAATGGATTTTGGAATACAGGGATTCTGATAACGGAATCAGGACAAAGTGCCTGACAATATGCTGTATGAAGCAGTCCTGCACTGGTAAGGGAGATAAAGGTATAAACAGCCCAAATCTTCCTTTGAGTTTGGTAATTCTGCAAACAGAATGCATGAAATGAAATGCTTTGTTAATTGGCCATTAAAGTTCTTCTTGCTTTCCACTTGTATGACCAAGTATATAGCTGTTTTTTTGCTCAGCCCTTTGCAATAATTAAATTTAATGCAATATTTTTTCCATGGGATTTCATTTATTAGCACGAATGAGATGTTAGCYGAGTTGTGCTTACATTATAGTTTTAGGCTGATTAAGCTTTTTGATCTAAAATCTTGTCTTCATATTTTGTATATCGTGTTTTACCATTTGAAATAATCAGTTTAAATGATGAGATAATTTACTTCTTCTTTCCATTTTCCTGAGTGTTATATATTGTTGAAGTGWTGAAAGGAGGCAAGAGTCCTTCTTACATTTTTGTATTAAAAAGAAAAGGTTCTTTTCATTTGGGTTTATTCAATAAAAATGGGAACTAATCATGTGGAGTTAATTATTAATTCCCCAATGCAATAGTGTTTGATCTACTGCRAAGTTCTATGGAAAATTAAATTTTATTGAAAGAGGCTGAATTTTAAGGAGACATAAAACTGCAGACAAAAAATACAGACTCATCTGACAATTTTTACATTCATCTGTGACAATGCAGAAGGATACTTCTCTTGTTTCATGGATTTCTAACATTTTCTCAGATGTAAAGGCAGTCATTCTGCTTATAGGTTTACAGGCCTTAGGCACTGAAGCTGGCTGAGATCTGAGCTGCACAAAAGTTTGATCTTCCCTAGAATTAAATCATTTYGATGATACTAAAAAGTTCACTGAAACTGCTGCTTCCAGTGCAGAAGGGACTCTGAGGGAAAGTGGGGCATCTGCTCTGGTAGGAATTCTCTGCTGCCAGCAAAACGGTGGTAGCTCACTCATGCTGCCCCTGTGTGGACTTCAGGGTRGTCTCTGGAGGTGCCAAGATAAAATAGGGCTTATTTCTATACCTGTGGTTTCAAGGATTCCCAGAACGACAAAGTGACAGGATACTTGGGGTTGGAAGGGATCTCTGGGATCTCCAGCTCAAGGCCAAGCCAACAAGAGCAGGTTGCCCAGGACCATATCTGGACAAGTTTTGCATATCTTCAGAGATGGAGATTCTATAGCTTCTCTGGGAATCTTATTCTGGTATTTGACAACCCTTAATGKAAAAATAATTTTCCTATGCTCAGACAGAATTTGATGTGTGATATAAATTGAGGAGAGTTTGACTMTGGCCTCTTTATATCCTCCCTTCAGATATGAGTATGCCTTGACAAGATTCCCCTAAGCCCAGGAGGCTGCTGGTCTACTTTCTCAGGAGGGCATGCAGTGGTCAACCATCAACGCAGTGACCACGAGGACCCCAAATCTTCCTTTGTAAAGCTTTTCCAGATGATTTGTATCAGCCTGTGTGGTACATGGGGTAACCATGGAGTTATTTCTCCCTATGTGCAAGTTAGACTACATGCCTGAATTTATCGCTCAGGTTGTTCTTCTGACTTTATAACTGAGAGTGAGAAATRTGTTTCCTGTAATCCTACAGCAAATATCTAAAATGTGTCAGATAACCCACACCCTAGAAATGCCCATTTCTCTTCACTGACTGTGAAGGTACCTACCACGGTAGAGGTAGACTTTGAGTTCAGGTGAGATGAATCCCTTCCCTACTGGTAGCGTGATGAAATCTCTGGTCCTTGTCCTGAACTGAAGGTTAAATATATGATGTTTGACTATTCCTACAGCAAAAAGGTATTCTCCTCCTAGAGACAGAGTCTACTAGGATCATTATTCTGTAAGAAGAAACTAAAAACAATGAGTAAAAACTCCAAGTAGATTCCCTTGCTCTCCTACAGGAGAGTCTGAAGTGCCTTTTTTGCCAACCTTTCTTTAAATTAGACTGGAAATTGCAATTAGATGTTAGCTGAGAGAATATTATGCAGAGCAAGATTTGATCATGAAGTGTCTATGAAGGCACAGATAAATGAAAATAAAAAGGCATAAAAGATTTTTTCTTTTTTGGAATGCTAACAAGCAGGAAAGATGAAAGCTGCCATCAATAAATCATGATGAGAGAAAGTATGAAAATGAGTGAATTCAGAGACCTAGTAGGTCTGTGTCGTTAATAAGGAGAAATGGACTCTTGTGCTTCTAGATCACTGCTTCAAATCCAACAGTCTGAGTGCAATCAAAAGCTATTGTCTAGCTCAGGTCTAACTGTTATTTCTTTTATCAGGGAAAGATCAGTGAACCATAATGATCCATGGTCATAAACCAGGACCCATATTGCCATGGTACATATGCAAAAGAAGGAAGTTGTCCTTACTCCAGACTTCTTACAATCTAAGAATCTGTTCCAGTRTGGAGTAAGCTGAGAGACTAAGTCCCATTTGTAGTAAGCAATTTCCCTGATTAGCAGAAATTATTGATTTTAAAATGCTTCTAATCAATCACTTTAAATGGGGAATCTCCAAGGTAAGCATTTCACTAGCCTGTAGGAACTTTTCTCCCACCTTCTCTTTGGATATAATTTTGTTTTATTATGTCTTGAATTAGGTTCTTGGCTTCAGATAGGGACAAAATCCATATTCATATTCAAGAAGAAAAGATTGAAAGGGGATCTTCTCTGAGAGGAGAACATAAAGAGGATGGGGCCAAACTCTTTTTCATGGTGACCCATGAAAGGACAAGGGGTAATGGGTATAAATTGAAATGCAGGAAATTTCCTCTCCATATGAGAAAGAACTTCTTTCCTGTGAGGGTGACAGAGCCCTGGAACAGGCTGCCCAGGGAGGTTGTGGAGTCTCCTTCTCTGGAGATCTTCCAGACCCACCTGGATGCCTCCCTATGCTCTGGGTGTCCCTGCTGGAGTAGGGGTGTTGGACTAGATGATCTCTAGAGGTCCCTTCCAACCTCAGCCATCCTGTGATTCCATGATAGCTGTGTATCATGCAAACCTTCATTGATTCTTGTCAGTTCTACCTTGCTACCCAGCAATAGCCTCACCACAGATCAAAGAGAGAGAGATGAATGTACTTTCTTGTACCCCATGTGGTCTGTTCAAGTTCATCTTGACATCCCAGTTTTCCCTTGTGCCGTATTTCTTCCTTGAAAGCAACCAGAAGATCCTACTAACTCTCAGTCTTGGTTTTCACTGTGGCAAAAATATAGATAGCATGCACCATGTATAAAGAAACACCTTCTGTGCAAATTCAGAAAAAGCTTACTCTTTTTTTTTTTTTTTCTCTTTCCAAAAGAACAAAATTTCTGTCAGGAAATAGAGCAGTCTCAAAAGGTTTTAATGACTTTCCTAAGCACATCAGAAGTGCTACCTGTGTGCTCTGGCACAATCTGTGGAGCACAAATGCTATCACTGGATGACAGGTAGGTTATGTATTAAGGTGATGGATTGTCCCTATTGTGAAGGAGAAATACTTTCAATTCCCTGAAAATACCATTTACTTAGCTTAGAYCTGTGTGGAGGAATGGAGAAGATTTTCTCTGTCAAATCCTATGTGTATAATGGTATAATGAACTTTTTTCTTTTTTTGGATAAAACCCATAAGAAAGTTATCCATTTGTGACTATGGAGCCAAGCATTGCTGACAATTCCTTGGTCTTAGCAACTCAGCTGAATTTATTTACACCAAAGAGGATATTTTAAATTTATCATATTTCCTTTCCAGTTATCAAAACTTTTTCTTTAGAGCCAAACACAACTGGAATTTGCATGTGATTTTGATGTTTAAGCATCCTGACTTGACTGTTATCAGGTTTGCCTGATTTATAGGTGCCTGCTGTTTTGGCCCATTCGTGCTTGATACTTTTCCGGAAAAGTTCATTTTCATTCTGACAGCAATCTAGGCATAGAATTCCTCTAACAATAGGGGGGGAAAATTCTTCTGATATTCAAACCTGCACACTTGTGGCCATGCATATGTCCCACCTCCTGAAAGCTCCCTGCTTCTGGACAAGCCTGGTAGGCATGTGGTAAAACCTAGGTGAACTAGGAACTAAGAAAGCCTTAATGAGGCCAAGAATATAAAGTTACCTTAACCTGTCACGATCTGAGAAATAATCCTGCTAAATCCTCACCAAAGCTTTATAACTRGGTCATTTTGGCGTGGGTTATTTCCCTAATCAAGCTCAGGAGGAAGTGACTAGGCAGGTAAGGGAGGCAGAAAAGCTGCATTTGGTGATAGCTGTAACTGATGCTGGGGTGAAGCAGGCCTGAATGCAGCTTGAGAAGAAAGCCCTGGTCCACCCAAAGAGCAGTAAGAAAGAAAAAATAAAGAGTAAGTAATAAATAATTTAAAAGATTACTACTGCTTTTATGGCGKAGGTGGCCCTGGCACAGTGGATGTTGTTACAAAGGAAGCTTAAACAAATATATTTATGYTTATCTTAATTCACTGGAACTCTGCTTTTGACCTGGAGCCTGTTTGTGAGATGCTTTTATTTCTGGTCTCTTCAGAAGAATTATGGTGGTGGGAAGTCAACAGGACTGGGAGGTTATCGTGGATTTCCTTCCTTTGCCTCTTGGCCAGAAAAGAAGTTTCAGCTCTTCTCTCAGTCTGTTCCCCTGCGTGCTGCCAAATTTTAAAGTGAACAAAACTAGATGAAGCACAAAACCAGAGTTTTCCCTTGTTTGCTTTCTATAAGAGGAAAATCAGAATAAAAAGATCTCACTGGAAAATTAAAACATCTGCTTATCAGACCCTTGAATTAAATTAGATTCCATCACAGAAAAGGAGTGCGAGGTATGGAAATGATGACTTTTCATTACTTTTTCAGAAAGGGGCTCTTTGCTGGCATGAAGCTGAAGAAGAAGAGAAAAGGTGAAAAAGGGTTAACCATTGTAAACAAGGACGCACTGGGTAAGGCCTCATAAATCAATATTGCAGCTGGTGAGAGCAGGCGGGACTATATCACAGCTAATTTCACAGTGAACACACTGCAATTGTCTTAGGGYTATTACCTTAGTAATTGATAAAATGGACAACAAATTCCTCATYCCTCCCAAAATAACAGAGATCATATTCCTTCTGCATTAGCTGTTTTGTTACACCCACTTCAGCTCGGATCTTCCCACAGAACTGCAACAGGTTTTGAAAGATTTTTCCCTGCTCTAAAGACAGATAAGTCACTGCAGGAATGTTATTCCATCCAGAAGACCTGTTTTTGCTGGAAACGGTAAGGGCACAACCTGAGTGTTAGGTGATGGCTGCAAGGTTTGTCTAGCAGCAGTTCTCTTAAGAGAGTGCAAGGGCTTGTTTTTAATCTTTATCTAACTGCATGTGCACCAAGCACACAGGAGTTCCTGTTTCTTTCTCCAAATGGTTCTCTTGCTGTCTCCCACYGTCATTGTTCTTCCCTAACCAGACAGTTCTCCAGTTCACCTTCACTGCACTGGTATTTCAGCCAGAGCAAATTATTTCCCCTATGCAGTTCTGTGTTGCAGTCTTTTGACTCAAATTTCATGAGATCTTTTAAAACACGGACTGTTTTAAAAGGGACTGTGTGTGTAGTGCAGCCCACGAATTACAGTACTGCAAGAAACCCGCCAATACTGGGCAGAAATAGAATCATAGAATCATAGAATCATAGAATCATAGAATGCCGAAGGTTGGAAGGGACCTCAGAGGTCATCGAGTCCAACCCCCCTGCTCACACAGGGTCACCTAGAGCACGTGGCACAGGGCTGCATCCAAGCGGGTTTTAAAGATCTCCAAAGAAGGAGACTCCACAACCTCTCTGGGCAGCCTGTTCCAGTGCTTTGTCACCCTCACAGTGAAGAAATGCTTCCTTAAGTTCCTGTGGAACTTCYGATGCTTCAGTTTGAAGCCATTTCCTCTAGTCCTATCCCTGCCCACCACTGAAAAGAGGCCRCCCCCCTCCTCCTCACTGCCTCCCTTGAGGTATTTATACACGCTGATCAGGTCCCCCCTCAGCCTCCTCTTCTCCAGGCTGAACAGACCCAGCTCTCTCAGCCTTTGCTCATAGGGCAGATGTTCCAGGCCTCTGATCATCCTGGTAGCCCTGCGCTACCAGCCCTGCGCTGGACTCTCTCCAGCAGCTCCACATCCCTCTTGTACTGGGGAGCCCAGAACTGGACACAGTCTCCAGATGTGGCCTCACCAGGGCTGAGTAGAGGGGGACGATCACTTCCCTCGACCCGCTGGAGACGCTTTTCTTAATGCACCCCAGGATCCCGTTGGCCTTCTTGGCCACCAGGGCACACTGCTGCCTCATGGTCAACTTGTCGTCCACCATGACACCCAGGTCCCTCTCTGCGGGACTGCTCTCCAGCAGGTCCACCCCTAATCTGTACTGGTGTCCAGGGTTATTCCTCCCCGAGTGCAGGACCYTGCACTTGCCCYTGTTGAACCTCATGAGGTTTCTCRCCGCCCAGTCCTCCAGTCTGTCCAGGTCCCTCTGGATGGCAGCACAGCCCTCAGGGCTATCAGCTACAAAATAAGAAATACTTATTTTGTGTCGTAAGCACTGTTTAGCTGAAGGATGATACTTTTAAAAAGATTTTAGTTTAGCCTTTTTAGGAAGAAGGACTTTGGGCTTTTGGAGCAGGGAAAAACACTAAATACTACTCAACTTTCCAGTAATTATAGATATTTTAGAGTTTATAATCTCATACTCAATAAACTATACCATGTTCCATAAGGTACACTGTACTCTAATTTGCTTCAGTCTGCCTTATAATCATCTGTAGCTCTACCACCTTTTATTTCAAATGATTATGTCTTTGAAGCATTTGATAGATTGATGTCTTAATGCTGCATCTTCATATATATTGCCAGTGTCTTTATTGTTTAAGAGTCTGATATAGCAAAGATAAAGAAATTACTRGTTGTTTCTTGTCTTGATTGTGATTTAGGGCTTAGTTCACCTCTCAGAGAAGTGTAAAGGAATGCAGTTGCTCACTGGACCCTTTTCATTTTCTGTTCTTGATCCACAGAGGGGGATAATCCCCGCTGATTAGTGATGTGTAACATGCACAAAGTTATTGAGGAAGAAACATGTTACAGTGTTAAAATGTTAGAAAAATACAAAAAGGAAAAGAAGTTTTAAGAAGACATTGCATCTTAATGGAAACGAMATGGAACTTACAAAGATTGGTCCAGGCAGCAGGTCACACTTACACATATCCGGTCCCAGCTGCGCTGGAACTTTTATCTACTTTAGCCTACAAAGCAAATAATAYAGAGTATTACGAGAGTATAATCAAACAGTCTGCTCTAGAGTAAATAGGATGTGGGAGGTAGTCATGGGAACGTGGTGCTACAGATGCAGGGCAAAGCTTTAGAATCTGTAGACAGGCACTATGCCCCCAAGGGATGAAAAGCAGGCTATGCTTACATGGATAAGGAGACAAGTTCATTCTCCTGATGTCCTGGTAAGGCTGGACGTGASCCAGAGGGACTGTCAGAGGATGTACATGGTATATGAGATTGGTAGTGTAATGAGCTTCCTTGAGACGCTGTGTATATCAGCTCCCATACAGAGCTGCACATAATGAGGCAGCAGGACACCTCGCCTGGAGCTGGTTCATGCCTGGTTCATGCCTTTGAGCATAAGACAAAAGTTACATCTCTCTGTACCTTCCTGCAGAGATATGCTTCCACATAGGAGCTTATGCGAGGCAGGCCAAAATAGTCACAGATGAGAGCTAGAATGAAGAAATCCAGATGAGTTTTCCTGTACCGTGCATGGTTCTTTGCTATCTTCACCAGTTTCTAAGTGTTGCTTAAATCATACCTCTACAAAGAGATAGGGAAGCACCATTACAACCCTTTCCTTAGGTTTGTGCTTGGAGCACAATGTCRTAGGATACTAGCAGAAAACATACTTGGATGTGTCTTCACTCAATTAATGCAGAGATGTCTCCAGAGAGTCACCAAAACCACTGGGTATTTCTGTTGTGGATACCATTTGACAACTTCTAGACCATGTCCAGARTCACTAAAATTTTCTTAATTATAGATATCAATATCCAAATGAGTTACTTTTTTCAYTTATAACTTTTACCCATAACATACTGCTGTCTTCCTAAAACAGGCATTGAACTTAGACACACTAGGCAAGAGACAGAGACACTGGCAGAATTTCTGCTGGACCAAGAGGACAAAATAGAACAACATGGAGAGGGTTCTTCTGGCCAAATAATGTGGATATCTAAATCTGAGCTAGTTGCTCACATCCTCCTTACAGTCAAGAAAAACATAAGAAGGCATTTCTGTAAGCAATTCATCTAATCTCRCTAGAGCTGTGTACAAGTAGTCACAGGAATCATATTCTTCAACTTTCTCTTTCTGTGCTTGGTTTTTCAGTCCTCTGTCTCTGCAAAAGGGAAAGATGAGAAACAATCTCCATCTAAGCTCCTCTTTGGTCATTTGGAAGAGACTGAAGTGTCCAAAATCCAGAAATGATAGACTAACTGTTCTAAAGCAGTACATGCTGAAAACAGCAATAATCTGTCCCACCACCTTTCTACCAGATGAGAGGGAGGATAGTTGGGTGCCTCTGTTGCTCACGTTCTTGGTGTGGTTTCACATGGGGTGAAGAGAGGGGATGACGACACTGTTTATATGGAGCATATGTCTTTGCACAGAAGGGGACTGTTGCTGTTTTCAGTGCCACACAGCACAAACCACTTCTGTATCTCTAATTGCAACATCCAAATAAATAATATATTCAGTTCATGCTGTTGAATTCACTGCTGTGCTACAGGCTAGCTTTTTGCAGGCAAAAAAAACAGAGAGGAGTTTATTGTCTTGACTGTTTTATTCGGCAGGTGGTCATGATGGAAGTGAAAATCTTCACCATGAAACTCTCAGAAGACAAGAAGAGGGAGAGGAAGACCTGACGATCAATGATGCATCACCCAGTATTTTTCCTCCTTTAAGCCCAAAAAGGAAAAGGTGCTGCTTGGCATATCTTCCTTGATACCCCCCCAAACAGGTTTTCTGTCTTTCTCTGGAATGGTATTGTCACAGAGCAATACATCTTCTGACAGAAAATTTGTTTGCTGACAGTGCTGATCTCTCCACCTCTGTACTTCCACATGACAGAGTGGGATGTACTTGTCAGCAAAATATTAGCAGCTCAAGACAGATTGTCACCTGATGCTATCCACTGCGGAGAAATTGAAGTGGATGCTGAGAGAGCCTGCACTGTGCTGCTAATGAAAATGAACCAGAGGGGACAGGAGCCAATGTGTCTGTGTAATTGTTCATATGGGGGGAGGAGTACAGTCAGATTTAATGGRATAAACAGGTGAATTCCCATACAAGACACAGCACTGGGCTCTGTGGATTCAAAGCATTTCCCCATTACCAAGTATGTGAGAKACAGATAGAGATCTGGAGTGGTGTCATGCAAATCCAAATATGAAATCCTTTAGCACTCAAGGAGTGATACCAAATTCTTCCATGCTCAGTATCTATGTGAAATGAATAAGAACCTCCCATCTCCTTTTTATGTTTCATAACAAGCAATAAGAAAAGGTTAAAGACACACTGGATGTAGCTCTGAGTATACGGCAGAATTGCTTGAGTGCAAACTWTGGTGCTTACCAAATTTCTGGGTTCAGAGAAGTTGCAGTAAGTGTCCTTGCATGTGTTGTGAACTCCTGAGAGATAAAAGCTCACACAGTGTAGCCAGCTTCAGTTCAAAGAGTAGTAAGGTATTTTGCATTGCCTTTCACTTACATTGGTCACATCCATGGATAGCTCTTGTGGCTCAGCTTGTTATGCAACTGTCTTCTGACCATGATTCTGAGTCCTTGGAYTACATGTCCAGTGATGGCATTAGTGTGATTGCTGGTGAAATCAAGTCTAACAGCCCATAACAAAACTATCCACCACAGACAATGCAGGCTTAGTGACACAAAGTCTTTTCAATGCATGTCAAAACACGGCTGCTTTCTAGAAAAGCCAAATTATCTGATTTGTGATTTAAACAGGGCAAAGTTGGTGCCCAGAATCCATGGAGAGGAGATGAAAACCCAGAACTACCAGGTGAGCGTGGGGTGAGGGCCTCGGTGTGCCTGTGCACCCGTGGATGTGCTGGACCTCCCAGGAGTGCACATGGTGCCCTTGTGCCCCACAGATTGCCATCACCATCACCGAGGCCAGGCAGCTCATAGGKGAGAACATCGACCCTGTGGTGATCATAGAGATCGGTGACGAGAAAAAGCAAACAACGGTAAAGGAAGGCACGAATGCCCCTTTTTACAATGAGGTAGGTGCTTTGTTTTGGGGAAAGTGTTTTCTTTGGTGATTTGGGTGGTGATCACCTCTTCATAGTTTGAACAGAGATGAACCTGCCTGGCAGCACCCAAGCATCTGAGCAGTGAGGTATATCCAGGAGCTGCTTAAGGAGCTGCTCCTTCTTTTATGGATTCCCTACTTGAACATTTCCTTGGAGCTTGCTTATCCCATCTGTTGATAAATGAGACCAAAACATTCCTCTGGACTTCTGAGCACCTTCTGTTCCTTTTAACTCTACCTCCYGATGCTGCATGAGCCCCAGGGGCACTTGCCAATGGGAGCACTATGCAGCAGGAGGAAGAGGAGAGAGGCTGAATGGTGTCCAGCAGGTCCTGGCCATGGTGGGGATGAGTTGGGAGCAGGAAAAGCTGTTTGTTGTGTCCACTCCAGTAATGCCTGGACTGCTGGCAGTGTTGGCTACCAGCACCGGGGTGATTCTCATCTGTCTTGTTTTCTCACAGTATTTTGTATTTGACTTCGTTGGGCCACAAGTCTTTCTGTTCGACAAAATTATCAACATCTCTGTAAGTACCCTGGGAAGCTCAGCACTGTAAGTAAAGATCAATCATTTGTGTAACATTCGCTCTAAATGACTCTCCTTGGTGTAATTAAAAAGACAAATAATTTTAGGTGCAAAGAATGCTAGAAAGTCAGCATGAAGAATATTGGAGAACAGGAAAGTTCTTCAATAGAAAGCAAATTCAATTCCCTTCAATAGAAAAGAGGAAAGGCAGGTGGCAACMGTTCAAAGAGATGTAACCCTTGGGTGGGTTCAGTGCATTTTCAGGAGTGCTGTTTTGCTGCAGACTTGGCAATTAGCAAAGCGAAGGGAAAAACTTCATCTTGTTTAACAGCACTTTTGTTTTCAAGCTGCCCTATATTTTGGACTGTTGAACTGAAACTTCTRTTTTTTCTCTGTTCCTCAGATGCAATGTAGTTTCTGACTAGAAAACTACAGTTACCTTATCCCCAGCAGTGGCTCTGGTGCTGTCGGAGGATTTTAGTGGTGTTAGTGTTAACTAGGAAGGGGGTTCTAAGTGCTCAGTGCTGTTCCCAGTGCTCTTAGCAAGTCCAGTCCCAGGGGAACAATGGGGCATCCTTGAGGAACCCTGATGGAAGGCACACACTTTTGTCAACCTATTGCCCAGACAAACCCTAAAAACTGATGAGAAGTTTCAGGAAAGGGTTTGTGCCAACCTAGTAGAGCCAGGCAACACATAGAAGCCATAGGAAGGCATCTGTGAATCTTCCTCGGAGACAGCTATGACATGCCAGCTCAGTAGAGCATCTTGTTAAATGACTTCACCACTACACAGATCAAACTTCTTCATGTTGAGCAGCTAGGTTTAATTCTGTTAGTAAATTAACAGTTTATATGTGAAAGTCTAACTTGGAACTGCTGTGCCGCATGCAGCGCTCAAATGCACAGATATAAAATTTGTACCTACATAGGGTGTCTGCAGATCTTTGCTTCTTCYTGACGACAAAATTCTGACATTGTTGCTTAAATTGAGTTCCTCTTTTTGCATGGGAAGGGATGCCTTCTCACAGTCATGGCTTATATCACAGCATATGACCCTGAGCTTCTGACACGTTTAGGGTTAGGAAAGCCTCAACCCAGAGGCATTAAATCATTGTGAAGTGTCACTGCTTTGGGCTGTAGAGCTTTGGGCTTGTAGATCTTTCTCCAAGATCTGTCCAGTCTGTTGGATCTCAGATTCTATTKATAATGCTTATATACATCCAGTGAAAACACCAATTTTTCAAGTTTGCTGTAGGTGGGAATATGCCAGCTTTATCTGGTATAAATCAGCATAGTTTCATCAGGTTCAGGGATATGAAGTGAAAATGATATTTTCATGTGTTTTCATGTGTTTGAAAAAATTCATGGTTTCAAACTCAGTGCAATGCTCATCACTGAAAACAGAAAGTTCTGTATCTTGGAAGAGAGCTTTGGAGAAAACAGTAAGGGAATAGAAACAAATGAGTGAGGAAATGTGTGCTGGTGAGGAAGGAAACTCTGGGGGATGGAAAGTTTCCTAGCACTTGCTTAACCTCAATTTCACTTAAGGAGAAACAAGGACTGACAGCTTCCATTACTAGTAGTCGTTCAGGCACTGAATTCACTTAATCCATGAAAACAAACCCTGTATCTGGCATTTGTATGTGAAAAAAACTATACCTGGAAGCTCAAAGAAAATGAAAAAAAAAGCATGAATATTATTTATCAGTTCAGTGATTAATCTAGTTGCATTCAAATCCTGAATTTGGAGGGGAAATACGTTTATCTGCTTCTCAACACTTGCTAATGAATAGACTTTTTTTTTCATAATTACCATCTTGCCATGCATTCCAGAAATCCTGTAGCAATGCTGTAGTACAACTGTGAGGTCTCTTCTATCCCAAACCTCCATCTCCCATAATGAAATACCCCCCATTTTAACACTATTCATTCTTATCCTCGTTTTGAAGAAAATCATTCAGTCATTTTTAAATTTAACCAAGTCTGGAATTATGCAAATCTTTAAGTATGATGTATATCTGCTGCTCTCGCTCAGAGAAGACAGGGGAAGTTTGAAATAAGCTCCATGCTTACCTACTTGGTCATTGTATGAGAAATATGCTTGAAAAGAGCAGTAATACTGCAGAGCAGTACGAAAAGCAGCGAGCTATTTCCTCAGCACCACTTTGAAGCTATGTTTCTTTTCTGTTGGAAAAGGTTGATTTGGCTGAGCTCCTATTTCTGTGCAGCTCCTTCAAAGACGGAATTTTGTTTGGCTTCAGGATGGGGCTTATCAGTCTTCATGGCTCCCTCTGCCAGGGCCTCCAGTCCAGGCTGTTTGGAAGGGGATTGGTGCCCTGATGGGTCGTGGCAGGATCAAGGCTTCAGAAGAGCAGCGATAGCCCATGAGGTCTTCACTGCCACACTATTTCCTTTTCCAGACAAATGTCACTTCAGTTTTATCTTCAGTAGTGGCATCAGAAAAACCAGTTCCTTTGCCTGTTCTTKATTTTTTCAGTCCCTGAGACTCTTTCCACATAGAGGTGAGGAGTTGACAAGGACAAGTGAGCATAGTCCTTAAAGCATAGGTGCACAGTGGCCCCAAGTCTTTAATGAGCAAGGGCACAGCACTGAAATTTGTAGCCTTCAGAGTTTTCCAGTAGATCCTGGTGGCTGTGATCTTTACTTTGGAGCCTGTGTCTCCTGGTCTTGTAAGAAAAACGTACAGAATTAAATCACATGACACATTCAAAGTTAAATCCCCTCAAAGAAGTCCTGTATCTAGGACATGCAAGTCCAAAGAGAGGAAGTGAATCCCTCCAGATTCCTGAAGTGCTCTCAGGCTTGGGTATTTGTCTGCAGGAACTGGCTTTAGCTCCTGTGGCCTTAGATTGAGGGAGTTAGTTCATCTTTGCAGTTTGACCAACATTTTTCAGGAGAGTCARCCCTCTTTCAGAAACCTTTCCACAGATGAGGACTGGGTTTCAACCTATAAACCATTCTCATACCAGGTGACATGTATATTGTTTTTAACAACATGATTGCAGAGACAATCTTCTATTAGAATAAGTTGTTAGCTTCTGTTAAATCTATGAACTGGAGCACACATCTACTCACAGCAATCTGAAAGCATGTGTTTCAAAGCTGGACACAAATGTATATAGATCCAGAAATTATTCCATAAAATTATTAATTAAATTAATTTAATTTTCTTTGCTTACAAGAAGGATAATGAGACAGACTCAACTGTCTCAACTGTGGTTGCTTGCCATCTCATTTGTACTCATTTACATCTACATCGTTACATTTGTGTGATGACAAATCAAAACCGAGACTTTTGGTTTACATGCACACTGAAATATTTGAAAGAAACACTTTAATTCTCTCTCCTGTGGGTGTATTCAGTTCATATGGAAATTTAGCTGCTGTGCAGAAAATGATATAATTCTTGTAGCCTGTGGGGAAACAATTACACCACATGTATTTAGGTACTTTATGATTTATTTAAAAACATCAGTATAAATAATATAACTGCATCTGCTCTGAAGACACATCCATCTTGTACCCAGTCTATTTGATCCTGGGACCAGAATCCAGCTGTAGTGATTTCTAAATTGGCACAAGAATTGAGTGAAGATTATATTTGAAATACTTGCTGCTTTCCTGGCTTTGCACATTTGTCTTTGGCTGCAGCTGGAGACAGTTGCTTATTCCCTTTGAACTAACTGTGATCACTACTTGGATTGTGCTTTCTCATGCTGATTGGAGAGAAAACGACAGTCATTAATGTGCCCTTTCCTTACAGGTTATGCATAACAAACTGATCGGAAGTGTGCTGATAGGCTCCTTTAAAGTAGATCTGGGGACAGTTTACAGCCAGCCAGGTATGCGTTACCTTTTTGCTTTCTTTTCTCTTAAATATGGGTGCAGGGATGGAGGGGAGAGGTAGGGAAATGGGAATTGCCCTGGTTTACGTATTAGATGTTTAGGATTTATGCCCCATGGTAAGATAAGCAAGATTTTCAGAAGAGTTTCTTTCATATTTAGCTGCCAGAGTATCAGTCAAATTTCTGAGACAAAGTTCAGCAGTGAAAATACCTTCCATTGGCTGGAACTGTGGGTCTGAGGCCACTTTTCAAAACTGGCTTTTGTTTAGAGGTCAGAGTGGGGCTGAGTGCTTAGAAAGACAGACCCTATTTGGTCATGATTGAGTGGCTGAAATTCTGCCACACATGTTGGGGTAGGAGAGAGAGGGAGTGTGGAAGGAACCCCGAGGTGAGGAGAGAAGGAAAGGACACAACCAAGGTTGTTCCACTTAACTGGCCATCTCCAGAGCTGCCCAGCACTTTCAAATTTTAAACTTCACACAGCCCTTTTGGACCCCTGTGTGTTTTCACAGCCATCTGCAAAACACCTGAACTCTCTCTTCCCAAATTACTCAAGTTTTTTTCTCATTCTGTAGGAATAGTTATGTTTAGGACATTTGTTATAGATGTCAACCAATCACGGCATCTAAAATGAAGAGCAACGCGTTATTCAGACCACCCTCTTATTGCTGTGGAAACAGTGGACGGAGAAGAACAGTCTGATCATAGTGAGCAGGCTACTGCTTTAGTCCCTTAATTCTTCCTTATATTTCTTTGTGCCTGGCTTTACAGGACAGCTGGATCTGAGGAAAATCCTTAGAACATAGATCYCAGAGCAGCCTAGTTTGCTCCAGTCTCTCCTTCCCTCTCCTTTACACATACGACCTAGTGGCTAAGGGTTTAGTGTAAATGGCTGAATGCAAGTGGATTGGGAACCATGGGGCTATGAGAAAACAGAGCAGTAAGTGTGAGTGAGGAAAAGGAGAGGAGAGCTGAGGCRAGGCTGGAGGACACATTTCTTCACCCCAACTTTTGCTCCAACCACATAGTGGCTGTCCTCACCCCCTGCAACTGTTCTGCACAGTGAAACCGCTCTGCTGCGTTGTTCCTCCTGACAGTATTCCTGAGTGCAGCTGGCCCAAGGAATCCCGTCCCTGTCCAGACCCATTACCAGGAAAGGTCTTAGGACCTTCCTTGAGAAGGGTAGCTCAAGAGAAGCTGCTATTGACTTCTTCTTCTCAAGGTTGTTTGCCCTCCCAGAGTTTCTACACAAGATTTTGCTACACAAGAGTATTAAGAACTTCAAACAGTTCTCATTATCTCTCRTACGAGGAGAGGCTGAGTGAGCTGGGCCTGTTTTCTCTGGAGAAGAGAAGGCTCAGAGGGGATATGATTAATATGTATAAGTTCAGGAAGGGAGAATGCAGGGAGGAAGGGGACAGGCTGTTTTCACTGGTGRYYAGCGAYAGGAYGAGGGGTAATRGCCATAAGCTGGAGCACAAGAAGTTCCGTCTCCAGGTGAGGAGGAACTTCTTTCCTGTGAGGGTGACAGAGCCCTGGAACAGGCTGCCCAGGGAGGTTGTGGAGTCTCCTTCTCTGGAGGTCTTCAAAACCCGCCTGGATGCCGCCTTGTGCCACATGCTSTAGGTGWGCCTGCTTGAGCAGGAAGGTTGGACTAGATGATCTCTAGAGGTCCCTTCCAACCTTGAATAGTCTATGATTCTGTGATTCATTAAAAAAAATGGTCTTTCTTCCTATAGCCTTAGCATTAATTCTGTTGCTGAAATCTCACTCTAATCTCTACTGGTACCCAGTCCTAGACCTTATCAGCTCTTGATGAAAATAAGTTTATTCCTGCAGAGTTTTAGATCAATCTCTCAGCTGTCTTTCTGGTCACACAACATTTTGGAACTTTCAATAGTGTCTGATAAACAAGGGTAATTCAACATGATGCTCCTGAAAGCTCAAGCCTTGTTTGCAGCTTTCTGGCTGCAGGAGTGCCCTTCCTGGGGAGGAAGATGAGAAGAGTTTGTATTGTTTGTATTGTTTGCATTGTTTGCATCATCAGAGTTTTCCTATTTTTACAGGTCATCAGTTTTGTGACAAGTGGGCTGTTCTCACAGACCCTGCTGACATTAGGACAGGAACCAAGGGATACTTGAAGTGTGACATTTGTGTGATTGGGAAAGGAGACACAATACAAGCCACTCAGAAAACAACTGATGCTGAGGAACAGATTGAAAAGTACTGCAGTTGTTTCTTTCTTCCTTCATCCTTTTTTTAAACTGAGTACCTCAAAAGTCCTCTGCTCTCCTTTCAGTCACTGCCTTGCTAACCTGAAATTACAGTTTTGTGGGGAAAGAAATAATTTGTTGTCTGAGTTTTTCATTTAAAGAAATGGCTTCTTTCTCCTTTCAGGAACCTCTTGATTCCCAAAGGATTTCCCTCCGAAAGACCATGGGCCAGATTTTATGTGCGAATTTACAAAGCAGAAGGGCTTCCGAAGATGAACTCTAGCATCATGGCCAATGTCACCAAAGCATTCATAGGCGACAGTAAGGACCTTGTGGACCCCTATGTGGTGGTCATGTTTGCAGGTCAAATGGTAATTGGGATCTTCTTGATCACAAATGTAGGCATTCCTTCATATTAGTTGTGTTACAGGCAGGCAACAGCAGGTCTACTTTCACTTGTTTTTACGTATATTAGGGAAAACATATAGATATATATAAATATTTTTTATCAACAGTAAATATTTACTTCCTAACTTATGCAGGAACAAAATGAAGGAAACATATAACGCCAGTCGAAGGACCAATATCAGCAGCATAGCATTGGGCTAGAGTCAGATAGCAGTAGGAAAGATAATTCTGCAAATTTGTTACTAAAACCTCAAGTTAAAAGAGAGTGATTTACACTCTGTGACACGATATTGGTATTGTCTTGGTCGCCTTAAGGTGAAAAGGGAAAGAAGACTGAGCTCAGGAAACATGGTTCAGCCTGTATGTTAGAGCTCTGTACTTAGCTAAGAATTATATTGTAATTCAGGACCAGTGCAGATTTTCTGGAAGGCACAGAAGAGGAAACATTTGAGCAGACACTTCCTCAGTGCYGCTTGGTGATTTTGATCCTGCAGCTGCTGCAACACCTAATGMAATGCTACAGAGACCTGCTGACAGGGCCTTCCTGACTAGGTGGCTTGCAGATGGATCATCAGGATCTAGTTCTTGTCTTAGTGACAAGTGAGACATAGTGAGAGGGAACTTGCCTTGATTACTGGTCTAAATAAGAAAAGAATCAAACTTTTAAAGTCAGCAGTGCTTTCTGTGTGCAAGGAGACTTTGGGAGAAATCCAGTTTGTCCTTTACAGAAGCTTTGGGTGTGTGAATGAGGCCTATGGTGCCAGCTCTMTGTACTACCACGAAGCCAAATTGTGAAGTATCACACCTGGAACTAATAGGGATTATTCTAGTTACATACAGCTACTTCAGATTTAAAGGAAATTTGAAGAAGGTGTAAGAATGGGTCAGTGATGGGAATTTGCCTGGTGTGTAACATGGAGGCTTAGAGATGCTGGTGGGATTCCTAACTCAGTTATCTCACTGAATACAAATGTAGAAGACCTGCTACAGTCTGCTGCTACATTGACATCCTTCATATGTCCCTATCATTTCCTTCAGGTCTAGCCTCTAAATCCCTACTGTGCAGGCCTTTGCCCAGAATATGAGCCACAGTAACTGTGTGTTACATGAGATAAACTGACTCTATTGAGGTAATTCCACCAGTGCACCCATCCTGGCAAACAAAATGCATTCCACCTTCTACAGGGCAATTGTGCTGGATTACTCCAGGCATTCAATGGCCACTTAAAGATGTGCAGTTCATAACACAAATGCCAAGGTCTGTCTGCACAAATATGTTTTATGCATGAAAGCCCTGAAGAATTAGGCTTTGCTCCCAGGCCTKCTGTGTGCAAGCACGGATTCATAAGCCATTAATATGGTCTTATATCATATAGAGAGGGAAATAAAAAAGAGCATCACCTACTTTAGTTACTTTAGCACAGTGTTATGTCCTACACTAAGACTAGCTAATAGAAAAGCAGAGGTACTTTCAGGTTTCACCTGTACTAGACAGGATTTTTTTTGCTTATAATTTATCTGCAGAAATGCTGTCGAGTACAACTTGCGCCACCCTCATCCCCACTCTGCAGAGTGTGAGCTAAATGCTGGAGTAAAAGTTGCTGGACTTTTATTTCAGGGTCGGACAACAGTGCAGAAAAACTGTGCAGATCCTGTGTGGCATGAACAGATTGTCTTCAAGGAAATGTTCCCTCCACTCTGCCGAAGAGTCAAAATYCAGGTCTGGGATGAAGGCAGCATGAATGATGTGGCCTTAGCCACCCACTTCATTGACCTGAAGAAAATATCAAATGAGCAAGATGGTGACAAAGGTGAATGGGGAAATATCTATTCCAAAATAAGCTCTTAGGGTAGAATCCACTTGTTTGAGGTCTGGACAYTGACTAATCCCACCTAAGGGATGCACACAGCTCAGTTGTACATCTAGTCCTTCATTCTGGGAGCCTMAACTGAAGTTATATTACATTGCACTTGTTTGTGTGTGATGGTCACTGCTTTTCTTACTTATAGAATCACTACATGCTTCGGTCCCTTATTGTGGCAATATTTTGCTTTAATTAAGTTAGGGGGTGACTGATAAAAGCTCACAGCTTGTGCCAGTTCCTGTGAGGCAGTAAAAGTACAAAGTGCAAATAGGGGCCAAGTAGCTTTGTGTTTCTGATTAAACTTGTAAGAGCAAAGCCTTTAGCTAGGGCTTGGTCAAGTATTATCACAGCTCAAGGAATTGCCATAGGCTAGTGCTTTGGCTCCCCATATATGCCGGGTAAAGTTTATTACTCAAAATATTTCCATGGACGCTTGATCTACATGTATAATCTTATTTATGTTACCTCAATGTGGAAAATGGTCAGTTATCACAGCTCAGAAAAGGCATGGTARCTTCTTAAACTTGGCAGCTCAAAGGTCTGTATGAACCCTTAATAAATAAAAAATACATCACTTAAGGTTAGTAGCTGCATGGACTTGGGAACAATTTGTACAAGTGGAGGAAGATTTTGTTCCTTTCCCACCATGACCAAGTCTGTGGAAGCAAGATGTTCTTCCCAACAACTGCCATTGGCCCCATGTCTCCAGGACCTGTTGTACTAGTACTCTTCTCCTGAGAAAGAGCTTCATGTTGGCAGAGTTCCTGATTCATCCTGACTCTCTCCAAAGTCTCCCCTGTGAATGAGTACTTTGTATGAAACAGTCCCTGCCTACATAGAAATGGGTCTAGGTTTAGCTTTCAGTGTCCTGGAGGTAGCTTTGCTTTGGGTAGACCATGAGAGGGAACCTGCAAAAGTCTAAGGGAAAGAYTGAAAATATACTTTATCTCCAGGTTTCTTGCCTACTTTTGGGCCTGCCTGGATCAATCTCTACGGTTCACCTAGGAATCACAGTCTCATGGATGACCACCAGGAACTTAATGAAGGCTTTGGAGAAGGGGTTTCCTTCAGAGGACGTCTTCTCATTGAGATTGCTGTGGAGATACTTTCCGGAGGAGCCCGGGAGTCAAAGTTTGCAAAGATAGTCAAAGATATCAAATTGCCATCCAAAGACAAAGACTCCAAAGCAGTTAAAGGAAAAGACAAAACTGACAAAGCAGGAGAGGATGGAAAGTCAGCTTCTCCTTCAGCTAAGACAAACTCAACTGAAGTAGAAGTCGAGCCTTTCGATGTGCCTTCAGAGGTCAGTATGAGATTAGGAGACTGATTGAAATGCATCCCTAAACCTCCGAGGTAGGTCCAGATTTGCCTATTTGACTTCAGGTGGTGGAATGTTTTTAGGTGCTTCCCATTAGCTTCTTCACATTTCCACAGTCTTGGGATCTTTCTGTAATAATGTAGGCACAAATGTTGCATGAGTGTATACCTATAMCTCAATATTTTGAGTAGGATGTTAATACTTGTAGCCATGAATATTGTGTCTTAACACAATAAGTTTTCTCTTCCCCTACTCTATTTCCATTCCTACTCTATTTCCACTCTATTTCCTACTCAATTTCCTATYGTCCCTGCTGTACTACCTGCATCCATGTGTTTCTACTGGAAATTTAAGTGACATAATACTGCTAAATGGTAGAGAGATGAGGAGAGCTAGCGTTTTTAAGTCTGGTTTCTTACTTTTACCTGAGAAAGTTGTCAGTCAAAGTCAATAGGGGATTGCTGACATAAAACTGGTGCAGTTCAAAGAGCTACAGCCTAGGTGGATGCATGTTTTATTCTTCCTTTTACACCTCATAGTAGTGGTAGTAGTGGTTGTAGGTAGTGAATTTCTTAGATTGCTACTCTCCTTTGGAATGGGCATGCAAATTATATTGTCATGCTAAGAGTGAAAAAACACAGATGATGGCAAGCCAGTGTGCAAACCTGTGCCCTGGTCTTGTTTTATATAGTTGTATACATTTAAATTGCCTCTGGGCCTCAGCATTCCTCTGAAGATTGCACTAGAGGTAATATGAGAAGAAACCTATTTCCATCTTTGTCCATATAGAGGAAATGTATTACTGTGAGGGACTCCAATACAATGGCCATAGGTGAATAGTTCACGCAGATGAACAAACTCTGTTATAACTCTAGTAAATATTAGTAGTAATAATAAGATTTTTTTTTTTCTGGCAACTGCATCTGAATTTCAAATACAGAGTGTACAGAGTGTATGAGCAACAAAATAATATGTCATTGCTTGATATTCTTCTGTTTTTCACAGTCAACAATATTTCATGCTGCAGTATATTGTAACTTTCTCAAAGAAAAAGTAGGAACAGGAAACATTAGAAATAAGGCAAAAAATGTATCATTGAGCATCTACCCAACCTCCCCTACAGCCCAATGCTAGAGGCTGAGTCCAACATCAAGATRACATTAAGTATTGACAGTTTGCTTTCTTTGTAAAGGGAGGTACATGCGGATGTCCAAGTCTCTAAGCCTCAGCTTTAATAGGCTTTACTAAACCATCGTCTGTGTTCTTGTTGAAAATAATCCTGGTTTAGGGGAGCTAAAGCTATTCTGCAGCTGCAGTCTGTTTTAGTGCCAGCTTTGATAAGAGATATTGCTACTTCTGTCACTGGAGAACTCTGCCCCTGTGCTGTGTTTGGCAGAGGAACTTCAAAACGAAGAGACTGTGGGATGAGACAAAAGCTATTTCCTACTTTGCAAAAGGAAATGAAAGGGAAACAAACTCTTAGATACAGTGGCTATCATATCCTCTGCTCTTTTCTCTATTGCAAAAGGGGCTAGTCTGGGACTTGTCTGCAGAACTTACACACTATCATTCCTGCAATGGAATTAGTGCATTGCTCTGGGGAGACTGAGGCAGCCAGAGTGTAAACTGGGGAGAACTTGAACCACATAAGCTATGCCGAGCTTAGTTTTAGTTTTGAGTGGTTCCATAAAACTTARTCTCTTTTTCCTATTGTCCCTGCTGTGCTACCTGCATCCATGTGCTTCTACTGGAAATTTAAGCAACATAATACATGCTAAATGGTAGAGAGACCAGGAGGACAGCTAGTGTCCTTTCCTTGAGTGAAAGTTTCCATGCAATGATGCCAAGGAAAGCAAATTGCAGAGGATGGCACCACCAGGCTTTTGCCTCAAGGTAGAGGTCTAATAAAATGTGGATGCCAGAGATTTTCAAGTCCTACTGATCTCACCAAGAGCAGAGCATGCCTGAGCAAGGTTGAAGTCTTGATAGTACAAACTTATGGCTAGTAGGTTAAAAGCATCTCACCCATGGAACAGAGCTGTGAAAACGTTTCCCTGGATTCATGGCAATGTCAGCATTTACCAGAGCAATGCAAAGAAAAATTTTGCCACACTCACTGTAAAATGACTTATCTCAGGATAACGAGACTTTGTTGCTCTAGCTCCCTTGAACTGCTTTTGATTTATAGTTTGGATGATGGTATAATAGCGTGAAGCTACTGAAAGCCTTCAGTGGAGACTATTGATGAGACAGAGTTCAAAGTGGGAGGTGATGGGTTTTATTTGACCGTCTGATATAGCTGGGAAGTACTGACAAGACCGAAGGCACACAGTTCAGTCCCTCTCTCTAATCATTTAAGTTCCTCAAGGAAGCCATATTCTTTCCCRCTATGATATTTTCTACCTGACAGTCTCAGACCAACTGATTTATAACAATAAATCTTCTGTTAGGGATTTCARGAAGCTTCTCTGTACTGGAAAGAAAAAAAGACCAGAAAGTAAAATAAATGTGATTTGCTGTCTCATGCCTCTCTGATAGATCTGTGAAGAGAAGCTTGAGGAATTTCTCCTCTTTGGGACATTCTTTGAAGCCACAATGATTGATAGGAAGGTTGGGGACAAGCCAATAATCTTTGAGGTTTCTGTCGGTAAGTGATTTAAGCTCTTCTCTGAAGGAGTAAGGGGATACTGCATATTATTGATAAYTGTGTGTTACAGCTCAGGACTCAGYTTCAAATAAAACTTATGCTTTTGAATTAAACTGTGAACATCATTTTTCTGGATAGTACCATGTTTCTTCCAGTCAAGCTGGCTTAGCTGTCTTTACTCCCAAGCACCCCTTATACTATATACCCCATCTTACCCAATGCACAGCTACTCAAAGAGTGTTTAGCCTTGCAACCCCCTGGGAGACCCAACTTGAACATTTTTTCCTCAGAGTGGAGGTCACTCAGCAATGCCCATTGCAACCTGTCCCTAGCAGTGATGGAGCCCCTCTACAGAGAGGACCCCCTTTGCCCAATCCTGTTAATATATAAATATGAGGAGTACATGAGGGTGGCRCAGGGGTGGCATACAACCAGGCCTGAAAATGCACATCATCATCCTCTTGGTAAATACTGTCCTCTGTGTGTGTAAAGCAGAACTGTTCAGTGAAGGATTGCCTTCCTGTGGTGAGCTGAATTGCCCTTGTGAGTTGACTAAAGAGAAAGTAAAAGCTTTTCCATAAACGTTCACTGAGTATTTTCAAAGCAGACAAAATTTCCCTGGAGAGAGAAGTGTTGAATGACGTTAGTCCCCTTGCAGAGTTTTGTTCATCTCTACATTAGCCCCATTAGAGCCCAAGGACACAGTTGCCGTTGCATCTGTGTACCTGGATGCATTCGGTAGTGGTGGGCTGTGTCTGGAGATGTATCCGAGACAAACCCAGGTCAATAAATGGTCCTGCTGCATACTGAGACCTCAGTAAGAAGCAAGGCTGGAAAAGCAAGACTCATTTGTATGCTTGGGCAATTAAAGATGCTTATGGAATTAATAGTAAAGATGAGTCTGGCTCTTGAGCTCTGGACCTGAACTTCTATGAGCTTCCTCTACAGTTGAAATTTGTTTCTAAATTCAGCAAAAGACCATTATTTGCACAAAGGGCTGAATTAAAATTGAGATGAGGTTTGAGTCTGGAGTGATTGAGCACATCCCACTTACCCAGCAAGTGTTTTCTGTCTAACTCTAGTCCAATCTATATTTGCCAGTCTAATGGATGCATCTCTTTCCTAGTGCATTTTAAAGCAAATTGCTCTCAGAGAAGATGGCTATATTGTTAGCAGCACTATCCAGCCTCAGACATGAAGCTGTGTCCTCAAACTGTTGCGATTAGTAAAGGCTCCTCTGCAACGCTGCTGTGCTAAATTTGCTTGGCTGTAACCAAACTTTAGCACTTCCGAGACCAGATTTTGTAATCTTGTAAAAATGTGCTATTAAAGTCAAACACACATAGTGGCTCACAGTTCTAGAAACACCAGGAATTTCTCTACCAAGCAGCAGAAGATCCCATGGTCTTCCTGTATCCAGCAATGAGAGGATCACATTGCTTAGCCAGGAGAGCAGAAGTCACGACTTAGCCAGGGTTGATGTTATGGCTGAACCTGAAGATCTTGAAGGTCTTTTTAAGCCTCACTGAAGTCTGTCACTTCTTATTCATTCATCCTTTCTTTGGTGTGCCTCCAGGCAACTTTGGAAATATTACCGAGGGAACAGGAGCTGGAGGGAAAAAGAAGGCACGTGATGACAGAGAAGGGGAAGAAAGTGCCCCTCTGCTCCATGACGGGGAGGATGACCTTGGAGTGTCCCTCATATCCACCACACATCCTGAGAAACCACTGGTCACAGATGGGAACAGGTGAGGAGCTGCATTTCAAAGCCTTGTTGCACAGGAAATTCAAACATGGATTTGTGTTTAGACTCTGAACCTCCACAAATTTAAGAAATCCTCACTAACAATACTGCAGCTTCGGGTACATGCTGGTTTATTATCCTCCATTGCAGATTACAGGATTTTTAGTTTTTCCCTTAACAAGTATTTAAACTTAAAGAACTGCTCTAAAAGAATGAATCATTCTTGAAACACACAATTTGCTTATTGGCTCACTCCAGTATTAACAAAACTTTCCCTCATTATAGACCTGTTCTATGGAGATGTAAAATGTTCTTGTCTTTCCCCCTCTTGTGGTGTCTGTAACTGTTTGGCCAGCCAGAGATACCACAGAGTGACTTTATGACCTTCACTTCATCTTGAAATATTGCTGGTCTCACCACTGACTTTGTTAGCATTAATCAGTACTTAATGGGGTAGGCAATAGATTAAACAAACACTACATTTTGCAATAGGTGAACAGTAGAAAAGAGTATCATCAGAAGCCCATTTTGAAGATTAAAGCCACTAGCTAATTAAAAGAACAGGAAKACTACCAAACGACACTGTGAAATTATTAGGGATTTTTCCCCATTTATATAAAAATATATATCAAGGACAAACTAAAAACAGTAACAACAAAAATGGTCCCTCCCAAATCTCTTGGAGGGAATAATAGATAGGATAACTCAATCCTTATGAGCTAATTCACRACTATATTGTTTCCTCAGTAACAAATCCTATGACAGGACTTAAGAGCTCCGTAAAGTCCTGGCAGTGGGCAACAGTTGGATTGTTCTTCTCTACTATGAAATCACTGAATGTGTAATTGTCCAAGACCTGTGCCGTGATACTACTCACAGAATTTAATGAATAATGGGGTTATTAACCCACAGCTTTGCCGTGAAGAGTAGATAGGAAATTCTGTTTCTCTTTTGATATCCCATAGGATGATCAAATGAAGTTGTAGAGAAGGTCTTTGTTTCAAACAATAACAACAACAACAAAAAACTCCTTTTGAAGCCTATTCAACTGAGTATGTGAAAGTTAGACGTTATGGCTGGGATTGTCAATAGTCATACGTAATTTGGTCTCTCTGGGGTTCATTCAGTGGTTGCCCAGTTTTATTTGAAATGGCCTAGGTTATCTGAGGCATCTGTGTGAGTAGATATGACACAGGACTATTGCTTTCCACCTACAACACCACATTTCAGAGCTTCTCTGCATACCTCTTTGCTTGTTTTGTTTCCCTGCCCTGGGAAGCACTAATATTAGATCCACTGGTTTCCAGCTTGTTCTTTTCAGGAACCTCACAGAATTGATTCTTCTCATGTATTTACTTGGCAGCATGTGTGAAAAGATCCTACCACATCTTCGGTTTCTGTGCTTTGAGAGCACATCAAGCATTTTTTCCTCTAGTGCCTCCTCCAAACTCCTTGCTCCTATGGTCTGCTCCATACCTTATTTTCACAGGAACTATCAGTACCTGCCTTATGATGAGCGCAAGCCCTGTGTCTGTGTCAAGAGCTACTGGGGAGACCAGACCTTTCGCTTGTATGCTTCCAACACTCTGGAGAAAATGGCAGATCACTTGGTAAGTTGCAGCCATTCTCTGAAGCTCAGATATTTGGCAGAGAATGCCAGTGAGAGGTCGTGTTCTCCAAAATGTGTCTTCAAAACTTCTCCCCGYTATACTCCTTTTTATTCGGTTGGTGAAAATGCAGTAGATATTATATTCCTAACATACTTTATGGGGGAAACTTTATTTTTTTCCATAGGGCTATCTTCTTTCCTTCAAAAAAATTTTTAAAAGCATTGATAGATACTAAATCCCCTTTAGTTTCATGAACAGCAATACTGAAGTTGAAGTGGTGAAAGTTTGTATCATGAGAAGCAAGTGGCTTATAGGTCAACATTTTAAACCAGAATGACTGAAACTTAAGCATTTGAATACATATTGAAAGTACATTTGATATAGAGTGACATATATTTGTCAGTGTATGGGAACACTCATGGAAATCCAGCCATTTATTCAAGTAAATGAGAACAGACTCCTGTTCTCAACGATGACAGSAGGTATTGGGGTGCCTGGATTCAGATGCCTGCTAAGTTTTGAGAAGTTAAAGAAGAACCTTACTAAAACAAGCAGCAGGGCTGTAAAAAAACCCAAGATCTACGGAGTTCCATTTCTCTAGCAGAAAATGTTTTGCATTCACTTGAAAGAAGTAAAGAACCAGAGCTGCTCCAAGCAGCAGCTGGAGAACCTCAGCAAAGGTCAAAATAAATCATGCAGTTGGAATCTTCTCCTTGTGCACTTCAAGCTTAGTGATATTTCAAAGGCCCTGTTTTGTCAAGTTCTTGCTAGTCCTACAATGAATGATGATATTCTAACATGGGCAGAATGATAAATGTCCTCCTTTATGTAACACCTTTTTCTGTCTTTTTCTTAGGAAGAGTCATTAGAACAAGTAGAAGACTTGATCAAAGTTTCAGAGTTTGCTCCTGAGGAGAAAATGAGGAAGACCATAAGTGATTTTATTAATCAAAGCAGGTAACTGTGTTTACCAAAAGTATACAGAAAACCAACTTTATATGTTGCCTACAAATTCCAGGCTAGACTAGGAAGGAAGCTGGTGATGGTAAAAGAAAACATGGTGAGATAATTGAGATTTTTATTTTAATTCTAGGATTAAAAGCAAAGGGTTTCCCAAATTGAAGTGTCTATCTAAATAGGGAAAATATTCTGCTATTATCCTCAGTATTCAGTAATGGCAGTAGAAAACTGCCAATGGTTGGATTATTATTTTGGTTTTCTGGACTCTAAGAATACAGTGCACAGGAGAATAAGTTGGAAGTAATAAACTGTATGACAAACATCCTGTAAAAATATGCTGAACTAAAATAAAAACAAAGGATTTCCCATGCTAGGATAACACTTCTGTGGACTCTCTGACAGGTGTCATGAGTGGTCTTAAAACAGGTAAAAATTATAGTTTATAGATGAGCCTTGTTTTATAGAATATGGTACAGAGKTTTTTTTTTCTTTATCACTCTTTTCTTTGACTCTTAGATAGATGTTCAATATTTATTGTAGCTAGAAGATTTCAGCATCTCTGTCTTCTGGTTCATTTATTGCAGCAGATAGAGAGCATTTCATCCTAATGTATCCTACCAGAAATAATTCACACAAAAAATCTGCTATTGTGTCCTAGGGCCTTCATTAGCGATGCTGAAAGGAAGCCCAAAGGGTCGAACTACACTGCTTTGGATAAAAAGAGATTCATGCTGTTCAAGCAAGAGCTGGTATGRATGCTTTTTCTTCAAAAATTGGTGCAGTGATGTTAGCTAAAAATGCACTGGCTGTATACATGTTAATTTGTGTTTGGTTTGTAATTAGTATGCACATAGTATCCAAGAGCACTTTTTAAAATAAAGTCTGCTGTTTGTGAGGAAGAGTTTTAAGACACCCTGAAATAATTCAGACCTTGTTCTTCTGTAGTGTAGAAGAAATTATAATAATGAGCTGTTTTTTCTTTTTAATGTATCTCATATAAAGATGTTGTTGGGTTGCTTGGAATAATACCCAAATAACACTATTGCTAGGCATTTATCTACTGAGGAGGACCTCACTCCAAGACTGTGGGAGTCTGGTGTTTGATATTCCTGGACATGGACAGATGTACACATAGATTTCAGTATGTTTTTGGATGCTCTGCTTTGTCTGTTCTTTATTTGCACATTATTAAGCTGCCCTTACACAAGACTCTGGCACATTATCCACCCCTAAGAGGGACACAAGCATAAATGAGATCTGGATTAGGTTAAAGACAAACAGTGCAAAGGAGGAATTATGACACTATGTGTCTTTCTTTTTTCTTTTTAAGCTTATGTGTGTCCGTCTATTACCTATCAAGGCAGGTCAAGGCCCTGTAACTCTAAGTAGTAATCATCCATCTCTTGAGATTTACATAAATACAAAGTACATACAGACAAAAGGAGTGTGAGGGCATTTAGCTCCCTAGAGTTAATTCCTTTCAGTTGTGACAAAAGATATTTGCTACCTTGATCTTAATTTCTCTTTATTTTTTTTAGCTTGAATTTAAAATTGTTTTCTCCTTCTGTGTACAGTTCAAACTACATGATAATGCATAAAAAACACATGTTGTCTTYCCTGGTTGCAGGAAGCAATGTCCAGTGATGCCAAGGAGATTGTTCAGCAGCAGAAAAAGAAGGTGTCACTAGAGGAAATGATGCGTGAGACTCAGACATTTATAGATAAAATTCGATTCTTAGTTGATGAGGTAAATCACACAGAAATTCAAATATGTTTAAAGTTTAGGGTTAACCTCTGATTTAATCATAATCCCATGGCTTATGATTCCCTGGCTTAGAGAGCAGTGGCCTGGTTTGCATCCTATGGTCAAACTCTTTTCCTTCCCAAAACAGAATGACTTTGTCCATAGAGCCTCCTGGGAACAACCCTTGGACAAGTCTTTTCTTCAAATCACACTCAGGCTTTTCCTGGAAAATGCTTTTGGGAACAGGGCAAAGCCATGGCATGGAGCATCCTAACAGGCAGAAYGATCTACCGGCGCCTGAGTTTGTCCCTGGTTCCTTTTTGCTGATATTAATGGAGCTGGTGATGTTTCTCCAGCTGGTACTTCCAGCTTCCACACTCCATGGCTAAAATACTTCCTGAGCTAGGGTGACATACAGGTGTCTAGTTTTAATTTCCACTGAAATTAAACCCCCCAGACTACCTCTCTGGAGAGTGAGTACTCCTTGGGCACCCACAGAAAGCACTTGTCTTTGGCTCTGCCTAGGACTGGAAGTTTGTCCTAGTTTTGCTAGTTCCAGTTTGCTAGTTCAACACTCCTTGTCGTAGCCCCAGAACACAGTGCCCGACGTGTTCATCTGGATGCTCAGCAACAACAAAAGAGTCGCGTACGCAAGAGTCCCAGCAAAAACCATCCTCTACTCCCCAGTGACGGAGCAAAGAGGCAAGGACTGCGGCAAGATTAAAACCCATTTCCTGAAAGTAAGTCTGGGATTTCCTCTGGACATGGGAAACCCACTGAGAAAATTCAGTATTCATGTTTCACCCAGGAGCTGTATTTTACATGTTARTTTTTCTAACGTACTACAAACATATACATAGCTTTTACATAGCTTATATCTACCATCTATTACTAATGCTTATTTCTTCTATTTATGTTTGTCCTTTTTTAACCATGATATCATGCCAAGGCTCTTGGTGCCTGAATGATTCATTCTTTTGCTGCCTTTTATAACAAGATCTGTGGTTTGTCCGTGTATGTGTGTGTATATATACATATATATACATATATACATATATACACACATACACACATACACATATACATATATACGTATATATACATATCTCTATATATACACACTTGTGTGTATATATATATAATATAAATAAATAAATACATATATATGCACAATCATGCAGAAAACCACAGCCCCTTTCCTGACRAAGTCACCAGAAAGCAGCACATGTAGCCCAGGAGGAGCTTGGTAAAAGACGAGATGTATTCAACAAAGATAGCAAAATACTAAACCCATTTATGCCTGCCACTTGAAATCTGTTGAAGTGCTTGTAATATATATCCACAGTATTGCATAACATTACTTACTTTACAGGAAAGTTTTAGCGGACATCATACTGCTACAAAGGCRATATGACTTGCAGTACCCAGCAGTGAAATACTATGCAGGGGAACTGTTACTATGATCAGAAGGAAAAGCCTGAACATATTAGGCAATAGTAATGTCTATTACGCAATAGTAATGCCATATAGTAAGTTTTTAGCTGCTTTTCATCTGGGCTGGTTGGGAGCACTCCCATAAAGCATAGTTAAAAAGCAGACAGTAATACCTCAACTGTTAGGAATTGGTCATGGATGCTGTTAAGCAGGGTAGTCCTTGCTTGCATAAACAAAGAAAAACAAAACAAGAAAACTTGTAATTTACTCTCCTGTCATGTCAATGTCAAGAATAACCTTAGGAATAGATAGTATRAAACAATGAGTTAAGCAGACCTAGATTAGTTAGAGAGAAGAAAATATTATTAGTATTTTGTGTCAAAATTAGTAGTAGTTAATATTGGAATATATTTTCTGATCTGTCCCATGAAATATTATTTTTAGTAGTACACAGGAACAGCTCTCAGAGATCAGGAAAACTGCACAAAGGTAAAGTGTCCCAAAGTCAGAGGAAAGGAGGACATCGAACAGCACTGACATGCTTTCAGCCATTAACTAGTTTGCACAAGCCTGTGCATTGTAGCTGATACGCCTTTTACACAGGCTTTCAGCTGAGCTGATTCGTCAATACTTCCCAAAGAGGTCTCATGGCCACCTACCTTGGAGACATGCCGTTTATCAGTTTATCAGCTCCCTGAACGCTCCTTTATTTTAGTAGCCTGCTTTTCAGGACTCGGCCTTGTCATCCCTCTTGAGCTTGTTGGTGATGGGGGTTCTTTCCTCAGCTGCCTGGCAAACGCCCACCAGGCTGGAATGTGCAAGCGAAAGTAGACACTTACCTGTGGCTTGGACCTGCTAGATATGCCCAGAGCATCATGGAGAACTTGCCTGTGGGATACCAGACAGAAACATCATCCAGCACCAGCCCAGGGCACAGCACGGTGCATCCCCCTGCCTGCCTACTGTATAAAAGTAAGACCAGGTTTATTCTGTGTAGTAGCAATGTAAAGAGGGTTGTAAGAAACACGTTGCCTAAATGCCTTTAGTTTGGGCAGCAACACCTTTCCTAAAAGTAACTGTTTTAAGATGATTGCTGTTTAGYCTCATCTCATCGCAAAAGGCCAGTTTCATTGCTGAGTCCCCAGTCCTGTCATCAACAGAAAAAGGAACTGGAAAGGAATTTTATATTTTCTGTTCCCCATCCCATGGTTTTGTATTCTCATTGTAAGGAGGCATCCCTCAGGTCTCTTGATGGAGCTGCGTTGATGAATATCTAGTAGATAGACATGTGTTGGGAGATAAAACCTGTCAATTAACAGGTTGCAAGAAAGACTTTCCTCAGCTATTGATTTTAAGTGCACACAGCAGGCTCACCTCTGTGTTTCAGGTATCTCATTAGAGAAATGGTGCTAGCAGCATTTGCTAGGCCCCTGGTTGGATGGYGAGTGGTTGGATGGTGGGTTGAGCTTTCCCCCTACGTACAAGCTGTATCTTTTCCCTGAGCTGACATTTCTGTTTCCATTGCAATGACACAGCCCCGCACCTCTTCCAGCTGAGAGCCCACATGTACCAGGCGCGGGGGCTCATTGCCGCTGACAGCACTGGGCTCTCCGACCCCTTTGCAAAAGTCACTTTCACGTCACACTGCCAGACCACCAAGGTAAGCTGCAAAGCCCCTTGCAGTGAATGCAAACAGCCTCCTCAATCAAGCTGTGAAAAGGAAAGATGTTGGTTTTGTGAGAAAACACCTAGCAAGAAAAGTCAGATCCTGCTGTTAAAGAGCAACTCCTGACAGCCCACTGTGAGCAGGGAAAATGTATAAGCATAGTCAGCTACTCTAGTGTAAAACTGTTTATCTCAGCTCCTTCAGATGTCAGGTTCCCTGGGTCTACTGGTCCTCTGTAGCAAATAAATTACCTTTCTTTCCAACTCTTTCTTTTGAATTTGGGCCATTGTCATTGTTTGGCTTTAGGATGAACCCCCATGGCTCTTTTTTTTACTATAATCTCTATGTGCAATCATAGCAGAAAGGAAGTAGAAGAATTTTAGGATAGTAAAGTTGAATTGAACTGAAAGTGTAGTGAGGAACCTGCATCTCTTAAATGCTGCAGAAGGATAATCTTCTTGAATACTCCAGTTAAATGCCTGGTAGTGTCTGTGGTGCACTAAGGAACTCATCATCAGAGGCCAGTGGAGTTACACGAGTGTGAAAAGGCATCTTTTAGCTCTGTGGCACCTCAAATTTGCCGATCTTGTGCAAGATGGAAAGATCTGACCTCGAGCACAATCCAGTTGTATTTTCTGAGCTGTCCTCACTGTCCTTCTAAGCTGGTCTCCAACACCTGCTGCTTGGCAGAAAGTTCTGCAGTGCATATTTGGGCAGGGAGAAGCAATAAACTTTCTCTGCTGGAAGCAGTAAGTGCTTGACTGCTGCTTTTACCTTGAGAGAATGAACGGATGCTTTTCCTCCTGACTTCTAATAATACTGGTGAATAAAACTAATGAAGTTAGTGCTTACATGCACCAGATTCAGGAAAGCAGAATATGGCCCAGGATGACAGCATTTAATAGGCATGAAAGTGTGATGTTTATTCACACGCCTGGGTAAAATACTGCAGGCAGTAACTTGCAAGATTGTCAGCCAAGTAACAATAAACTGTACTCAACAGTCTTATTTCCATTGAAAAAAATGATAGCAAGTTATGAGTCATTTTACAATTGCTTTTCTTTTCCTTTTTAAATGTTATCTTAGTTTAAAATACTTCCTGCCAAGGCAGTTAAAATATTATCTGTGATGTAATTCCAYACACATCCTAGTAAAAATACAGCAAAACAAAAAATAGTGATTTATTATGAGTAACTCATTAAAATACCTTGTTTTTTTAAAATCAGATGTGTTATTATATTGAAGAAAAAAATAAATACAAAGAAATGCACTCTGGAGAAGTGATAATTGAAGTCAATTTTCAATTATCAAATCAAATCAGTTTTGAGCAAGGCCTTTATTTAACAGTTTTGGGCCCGACTCTGCTTTTCTAAACCAATAGYTTTCCTCTTAATTTAATTCAGAGTCCTTCTACACAAAGAGTAGAGGTCACATAGAGAAATGTTTGTGATGAACCCATGAGGCAGAGAGGGAACCTGAGAGCAAAAAGCCTTTGGGAGGAACAGGAGATAGAACCAGCAAGAAAAACTAATYGTATTCTTTTGGGTGGGAATAGCTGCTGAAAAATACAGTGGCTCAGACACGTGAGTTGTTCAGGCCATGGGAAAGACATTGTCAGTGCATCAGCATGTCCTTCTGAACAACTCCAACCAATTTATAGCATATTCATCTATTCCACCTATTCCTGTTTTCCATTAGATCATTCCTCAGACGTTATCCCCCACGTGGAACCAGATGCTGCTCTTCAACAACGTTGTGCTTTATGGGGACAGAGAAGAAATCACTCAGTTCCCCCCTGAGATTGTCATAGAGCTATATGATGACGATGCAGTGGTAAACTTGAAATCCTTTTTAATAAAAAAAGAACGGGCTGTTATGTCTTATCAACAGCTTAAAGAAAAAGCTGTGTCACTGAATAGGCATTAAAAAAAAAAAAAAACCAAGCAATCTGGATGACCTTCCTGAAGAGAGCTCAATGTTACAGCAGTTTATAGCTGAATATAGTTCTAAGACTAAATATCCTTGCAGAGCTGTGGCCTTGCCTTTCCCAAGTGAATGCATCCCCAGGCAGGGTTAAAGAAGTTAGAAACATCTTTCCCCCTCCCAGTACACACCTGTAAATATTGTATGTATATGTCTGGGGAGACCTTGATTTATCTCTGGCCATGCAAGCTCTGACACGATCTCACTTCGGAGAAAGTAAGAAAACTTTGGATGACTGAAAAGATAAAAAAGGACTCAGCAGCTCCATTTTCATAGCTGTCATTGCATTTTATATTGCCATTTACCTTAGAGGAAGGTTTTTGGCACAAATACTGAACTCTGCATCATCTTGACTCTTGAGAGAGCTGTGAAATTCAAAGACCCTTGACACATGTATTCTCCTTTATCTAGGGCAAAGCAGAGTATATTGGATCTACGGTGGCTGCCCCTGTGGTAAGGCTGGCTGATCAGAAGTATGAACCACCTAAACTTTCTTACCACCCCGTGTACTGTGGAAACCTTTCTGGGGGAGACCTACTTGCTACRTTTGAGCTTCTGGAGGTAAATTAGATTTTCTGGACTGTTAGCTCTCTCTTTGAGGACTCTTATCTTATGTGTTCCTAAAGCTAGCCATGGTATTGAGCCCACCACCCTCCCAAAGTGGTGGGAGTTGCAACCAGAGCAGCATYGTTTTGCCGTTGCACTCTGTGACTGCAGCAACTCCTGTACTGGGGCTGCAAGCTTCTTTCTGCTGCAAACCTGCAGAAGTTTATTCTGAAATCCATAATGAGGAAAATGTGGAGCCCTGTGATGATACCATTTGAAAGGTATTTCTGAGGGGAAATGGACTTATAAACAGCATGGGCTTATTAGATACTATGGAAATATGACACCATGCACAGCCTATCTTCATAGAGGATGATACATAAGGATAAAAACCATTATTTTCCCTTCGTTTTTTTTTGCTGAAATCCACCTTTCCAGYGAACAATGAAAACATTCTGTTTTGTGATGCTGTCTTACGAGATGAGGGAAGCAGAGCAACTTCTGGGCTAAATCTAAACATATCCCTAAGGCTGCACTAGGGAGTTGAAAATAACTTTAAGTAAAGACCTTGCAGTCTTAATTTTCATGCTCTGTATTATTCTTCCCGGTGACAGCACTTTAGAGCACCTCTCACAACAGATAATAGCAACACAGACTTAAAGGAAACTTCAGGAAAAGGCACATTAAGACATTTACAAGGTTTCCAAGCACTCAGAACTGTTGTGCCAGTCACTCCTTCCAGTATCAGGGGATTCCTGATGATACTCTGTGTCAGGATGGAAATGAAAATGTCTAATCACTAATTCATTCTTCCTTTTTACTCTTTTTTTTTTAACCCCTTAAATGCTTCTGCTGTAACCCTTTATGCACTTGATAATTTTGATCTGCACATACCACAYGGTGTAGTTAAAGAAGCAGTGTGTTAAGAAGTCCTTTGTCAAGGTATACACACACTGGTATGCTGGGTCAGTGCCAGGAGCTAAACTGATGYGTATAACAAAGCAGCCTGTAATTTATAACAACAATAGACTAAGATAAGACCACCTAACGGGTACTGGGAGACTTGCTGTTTGGCTCAGAGGAGCTCAAGATTTGCTGAAAATCCAGGGCATCTGGATTTGATATCAATATTACATGACCATTTGTCATGATCTGGACAGGGTTTACATTTTGGGAGTTCAGGGGACTGTTGTAGTATTAAACCACCACCACCAACAACAAATCTTTATGGGGCTATTTTGTCCTCAGATATGAGATTTCTCCAGCTTTCCTCTTTTAAGTTTTGCCCGTTATATGTTCCCAAGCTAGAAAAAAAAATAGCTATTTATTTTCTAGTTTTAARAAAAGATATGATAAATGTAACAGTTTGGAAATTAGCTGTGCATAAATCACTTTSTCTGTCTGTCTTCATTAGCTAAGTCAGATAACACAGTAAAACTGAGAAACCTGAAAGGAAACCTGGGACAAAAMATCTGTCATGAGATCTAGCTCAGATGGTATTTACCTTTATCCATTTATTTATATATATTTATTTATTTTTCAAAGGGTAAGTTAATCTATTATGAGATAATTTTTGAGTATTTAATACTCCTTTATGTGGAATTTAAAAAATGTTAATGTAATTAAAGATAGATTTCTAGACGGAAAGGTAGGATTCCCAAAGTTGCATGTCTGTTCATTTTCAGAACAGCATCACAGAGGCAGTGGATAGAAACCACACAAATTGGTGCAACAAAACTAGATCTATCATAATCATTTTCCTTAGAAGCATATTTCTTTTTGATTAGAAATATGCATTAAACAGAAGGAAAATCTTGAAATGGAAGGAAATGCTTCATTACTGGAACTCGAAGAGAAGATCTAACAGTGGGTAGGGCCATTAGCAACTGGATAATGAGCTAGTGCTAAGATGCAACTGGAGATATCTTCATTTAAGATGTTGATTATATTCAACCTGAGGTCTATAAATGCCTGAACAGCTAAGGGTTTTCCAAAAGGTAATTAAGATAAGTTCATCTACACTATAGAGCAATTTCTGCATGTGAGATTTCCAAAAAGGTTCATTTTTAATTTATAATTATTTATGATCTCACAAATAAAAACAAATGTGGGGAGAGCCTGGGTCCTTACCTGCAGTTTTGGGAGACTGCCATGGTACATCCCAGGTGCTAGACCTAGTCCATTCTACTATGGAGCCTTCTCAAGGCCCATGGTGCTCCATGGTGGCCCATAYAGAAATATACTGGGAGCCTCTGACCTTATCTGAGGAAGGTTTTGTTTCTGGTCTTCAATTCTGTGAAATCTATTTAATGAATTGTTTTAAMTTCTTCTGAATAAAAGGCAGTAAATGTGCGTGTGAATTAGAGCTTTTGGTTATATTATTACTAGCACATGCTATTACTTGCTGCAGGTGTTAGGAAATGTATTTTCCACACATCTCCCTCACCTGCAAAATTACAAGGAATATATTCTTTCTTCTTTATCCTAATTAAAATCCCACACAGCAGTACATAGCTGTATATAACAGACAGATGGCCCAGTTAAAAGAAGCAGAAGACTTCAGCTTTACAGGTCCCTTTAGAGCTGTATCTCAGATGCTTTACCTTTTAACAGTGACAATTTAGCTTAGGAAAACTACGAAGCACTCCAAAACTTACGTTTCTTTTTCAGAGGACCCAGACATTTTCAAAGGTGTTTGGTCCACATCCCAGCATGGCCCATCTGTTTTCCTTTAAAGTCATCTGAAGATATTTTTCATCCATCTCCTTTACAATGTTTTTCTGTATGTATTCAGTAATCTTTAAGTACCGTAATTCACACAGTACTAGTTACACCTGTGGGTTAACAGTTCACCTGTTAAACCAATGCTCCTACTTTTATGTGACTTAGTCTCTGGTAGGAGTGATCCTCACATCGTGGGTTTAGCTRCTGATTATAGAGATCTGCTAGACCAGGCTAGGTTCAGATCTGCCTTACAGGGGCTGAGAAAACCCCAGAATCACAGGATGACTGAGGTTAGAACGGACCTCTGGAGATCACCTGGCCCAATCCCCCTTCTCAAGCAGAGTCACTTTGAGCATGTTGCCCGGATTTGTGCCCTGGCAGCTTTTGGATATTTCCAAAGATGGAGACTCAACAGCCTCTCTGGTAACCTGCTTCAGTGCTCTGTCATCCTSTCATTAAGAAAGAGCTTTTCCKTAGTTTATRTAGAACTTCTGTGTTTCTGTTTGTGCCTGTTKCCTCCCTTTCTGTCATTAGCCACCACTAAGGAGAGTCTGGCTCCATCTTCTTAACACCTTCCCTTCAGACACGTGTACACATGGATAAGATACCCCTGAACTTCCTCTCCTCCGGGCTGAACAAGCTTAGGTTTCTCAGCCTTTCCTTACACAAGAGATGGTTCAGTCCCTTCATCATCTTCATGGCTCTTTGCTGGACTCCAGCAAAAAGCTCTTTGCTTTTCTCCAGTAGCTCCATGTCTCATTCTGAGGAGCCCAACACTGGACACAGCACTCTAGAGGTGGCCTCACCASGGCAGAGTAGCRGGGGGACGATCACCTCCCTTGACCTGCTGGTAACACTTTTCCTGATGCACCCCAGGATACCACTGGCCTTCCTGGCCAGAAGGGCACATCGCTGGCTCACAGTCGTCTTGTTCACCAGGACGGCCAACTCTCCAGCCTATCCAGGCTTCTCTGAAAGGCAGCACAGCCCTCTGGAGTATAAACCACCCCTCCCAATTTTGTATAATTAACCAAAGTGCAATGAGATCTGGGGATGCCCCAAATTTCTACCCCTTCATCCAGGTCCTGATAAATAAATTGAACATAATTTTCCCCTGAGGGACACTGCTGCTTACTGCTCTCCRGATTGACTTTACACCATGGATCACAGCCCCGCTGTGCTCTGCCTTTCAGTCCACTTTGCTGTCTGCTCATCTAGCCTGTACTTCATCACCTTGCCTGTAAGGATGCAGGAAACAGTGTCAAAATCCATCAAGGTAAATGATATCCGCTGCTCTCATCTCATTCGCACAGACAGTCATGTCATCATAGAAGTCTATCAGATTGATTAAATATAATTTCCCCTTTGTGAATCTATGCTGACTATACCATCTTGAACCTCATACACTTAGAAATGGTTTCCAGAATTAGCCTTTCCATCAGCTGAAGTCAGCAATATGCTGTTGAAAATCAGCAAGAGATTGGAAAGGAAGCCAGGGAGCTTTCCCACAGAAGGTGATTTGTGAGGGAATACAAGCTTGGATCATGGCAAAAGGCACAGAGCAATAAGAGGTCATCAAACCCCAGGACTCTGGTGGCATTTGTGCCCCATCAGCCTCCTGACACAGGGTCATTGTGCAGAGCTGAATGTGCTCTGGAAAAGGAAACAGATTATTGCCACCACACAGACCAACGTGAGCACTGCCTGTAGCAAAATTGCTGCAGTTACAAAGAGAGAGCCCACTCTTAGCTGTGGAAATGGGGCTGGCACGTTCTCAAATGCTGTGGCACTGTCTTTCCCAGCTTGGCAGGTCTCCTGATCTGTGCTGGCTGCAAATCGTAGGTGTGATCAAATAGCTAAAATAATGTCTCCAGAATAATGCAGGATGGCCATGTCAAAGTATAATATGGCTGAGAAGGGTTGGTGTTCTGTCCATCTATTAAAAGCGTGGTTCTGCCCATCTGTACTAGGCTTRCCAACCCCTTTGTAGCTTGAATCAGTCCTGGAATATTCTTACAAAAGTTTCTCATCAGCTTTTATTAATTTATTTTTATTAAATAGAATTACTGTGCTTTGTTGGCACAAGTGTGTCTTTAGGGCAGTCTGTGACCTGCTAGGACAAAGAAGTCTTTTTCTGGCAAGGTACTTTAATTCAGTCTATTGAACACACTTCCTGCCAAGTGTTTCAGCATCACAGTAGGACAGATAGCAATCCAAGTCACACTGCTCTCACAGCATAACCTGTCTGCTCTGCAATGTGTCTTGAAAAAACTACAATAAATTGATGTTTAAAGTACCATTCACAGATATTTGTGATATTGATTTATTCCTCCATATATCAGCCTGTGCCTTGTCTGCTGAATTTTCCAGATTCCTGAGTCAGATCCAGACAGTCTTCCCCCAGTGGATCCGCCTGATGTTAGCCAGATCTACCCAGTACCCGCTAACATCCGACCTGTTTTGAGCAAATACAGAGTGGAGGTGAGTTAGAATATTCCTTCTGCTCCAGAATCTCATCTCCTTACATTCCCCRCTCAACTGTAAAACTCTAATTGTTGTGGTGATGATGTTTAAATTGTAATTAAATATACTAATATATATTATATATACACTTATATAAGTATGTAATTATATATACTAATATATCTTAGTATAGTAGAGTGTGGTTATAATTAGTATAAAAAAAATAGTGTATGACTTGCAAAGTACAGGGTTAAGGTCAGATGAGCTTGATTCTCTGGTGCTGGACATCAAGGCAGTGCCTCTTCCTGCAGTCTGTCAAGTCTAGATGGCAGTCACGGACAGAGGGAGCAACAGCTAATGCGGCAGCCGCCTCTCCTCTCCCATGGGAAATGTTTGTGGGACACTGAGGCAATCCTTGGCAGCTGACATTGCTCTCAGCAAAGTCCATCATCAGCCACCTCCAAAGCCTTGCTGGGTCCCAGATTTCAGCCAAGACATGTCCCCTGCCTGTCTGAGTGTCTGCACTTTCTGCCTGCCCCTCTGCCAGATGCCATTTGAGCCCGCTGTCATGTTCTGTTAAAAAGCAGGGAAAAATGGTGGCCTTACATCTCTCCAAGCAATATCTGAATTCTATCCAACCTCATCACTCCTTCACGCATCCTACAGCCTTCATGTGAGCAGAAGCTCTGGTGCTGTTCTTGATTTCCCTTCAAAGACCAAGCTGTCGAGCTGTGCAAAGGAGAGTTAGCTCTGCTGTATCCTTCAGTTATCTACTCTTTTCTGTATGTAGGAAAGAGGGTTTTTTTTAGCAGTATCCATTTTATACCCAAGCCTATGAGGTAAATGAGGCCATGAACTACTGCTATAGGGAAAACTGAAATTCTGAAGCTTGAGTGTCGTGCTGAGGGCTTCCCACTGCGCCTGCACCAGGACTGCTTTGCACTGCTTGAATACTTTCCATCTGACACCGCTGTGAAATTCCTCCTACCTATTTCTGTGGTTCCCAGCCTAGAAGCATCCTTGCTGCAGGCTTCTTGTTTGGCTAACTGAGCAGAGCGGCCACCCTCACGGGGTGGTTCAGGTTTTAATAGTTTAACCAGGCTTTGTGAGTGCTTCTCTATATCTCTCGACTGTGGTGGGAGCCCAGAATGACTCCACTCCTTCGTATGATACCTTTCCCGTAAGGAGAGGTTACTACAGGGTGAAGATAACACAACTATGTGTGTATGGACAATACTCCACACCAAAGGAAATTGCCATACAGCCCTTGTGCCCTTATAGAAATATTCTCTTCAGCTGGGAAACCCTGGCAGTAGAGCACGAGCTCACAGATCCCTCACGCTGCACCAGGACCCTCTGCCATCGAGGGAGTCGTATRAGATTGTTGCATCCCACTCACACCAGTCCCCTGTCCTCCGAGCGTGCAAGTCATCCTCATACTTGCTTTCCGTTGCAGTCTTTTTGGATTCATGAGACTCATAGCTTCCCTCACTAACCTTTAATTTTTCCAGAAAACTTCAACCAACATTTTTTCCATCACTAAAAGTGCCAGTCCTCTCCTTCAAGACCCTCCAGCATATCCCAAATAGAGACCCTTTTTTTTGCACATCCCTAGTTTACAGAACCAGTCTTCTCCAAACCAGGAAGAGTTTTCCGTGCATCCTCCTCCCTCATAAGGTACCACAGGTTCACAGCAGGGGCTTCCCACATATTTGGGAGTCTCTGTGTGGTTCTGATTGCTTCTCTCTGCCTGCAACAGGTTCTGTTTTGGGGCGTCCGAGAACTGAAGAAAGTCCAACTCCTCTCTGTAGATCGACCCCAGGTTCTCATTGAATGTGCAGGGAAAGGGGTGAAATCCTCTGTCATCCAGAGCTATAAGAAAAATCCCAATTTCAATGTCCTTGCCGACTGGTTTGAAGTGGTGCGTACAGCATGCTGCTCCTTGCTTTTCCTTTCTCTGGGTAGGCAAGGTGTTAATTATTAATTTCCATCCTTTCCTGTCAAATCATTTTTTCTATGTCTTRATTAAATATTAAGGAAGACCACTTCTTATGTAAAAAGCTTATGATTCAAATACAATTTAAAAGACCTCAGCTACAAATGTATGATAAAAGAAGATGATGTTCCTTATCATATCAAGAAGGTAAGAAAATATGTTGCAATCTAGTTTTTGCTGATAGGTTGGAACTTGTTGCCAGATAATGGATATTTTTAATTTTTCTCCTCCTCTTCTCCTATTTTGCAAGGTAGAGCTTAATTTCATTATATTTTCTTTCAGCCCTCTTAAGTCCTCTTAATTTTCCCTTGTGTGCTACTGGACGGATCATATTTGGCTTACGAGCTCTAGACCATTTCACATTGTAACCCCTGACATTATGAACTAGGAGCTTTATTATTTTTCTGCTATTCGAGTTATAACAGCTGTTGGTTTCACTAGGCAAAGATCAATACGAGAAAAAAAAATGTCAGTTGATTTGCTCTAATTGACATCATCCCTGGGGCTAAAAGTATAGCTGCAAGGAGACACATGAATATCAAACCCCCTACAGTGGTGCCTGGCATTAATACAACTTCCAACCCATGTTCATTCCYTCTGAATGTTCCTGGTTCTCACAGAGGGCTGATGTGATGTGTTTGTCTATGACAGCACAGGACTGGGCTCAGTAGCACAGCCTAGGTCCTATAAATTTTACATTTTGAGTATAGTAATTGCTGTGGAGCAGAAAAGAGGAAGGAGTATTGTACTCATAGCTATGTATGGCACATACCCTATAGCAGGATCTCTGTCCCCTCCATTCTCATGTTGCTGTCTGTCCTCATTCCCTAGGAACTGCCTGAAAATGAGCTTTTGCACCCGCCACTGAGTATCTGTGTAGTCGACTGGAGAGCGTTTGGGAGGAGTACCCTTGTTGGCACGCACACCATAAACTACCTTAAGCAATTCCTGTATAAGGCCCAGCCGGGTCCACAAAACACATCAGATACACTAGAAATGGTGGAAACCAACAATGGTAAATGTCCAGTCCTGACCCTGAATGAAAAAGAGCACTGTTTCATGGAAACAGTGAAGGATCTGCTCAGASACTTAACAGTAGGCATGTGCTTAGAAGACATGCTGATCTGGGCTTGAGTGTAGGATCAAATTTTACCTAACTTGCAAAGTTTCAATTTCAGCTTCCCCTGAGTCCTCCCAGGCTAYTGAGTTATCCCCAGCAGAAGCTCCTTCAGCTGATCATATCTATGTTGAAGTGGAGCATGGTGAATCTACAGTAGTGGAGCCAGAAGCAGATCCTGCACCCCTTCCTGCTCCTCAACCACAACGCTCTGGCTCTCAGTCAAGGCAAGACAGAAAACAGAAGGTGAGCATTGCTGRAGCTGCCAGCTAACTTGCAATTAGAAATAGTTGTTTCAGTCTTGTAGTTTGGATCCACACGTGACAAAATGGTAACATTTCATCTTAAACTCAGGATTGGCTATGACCTCCTCAGATACTGTAGCAAYAGCAGAACTGTTTTTCAGAGAACAATTTCCTGGGAATTCTGTGTATGGCTAGGAATACCCACAGTATCTTGCTGACCCTTGAGAGAACTAGTTAGCAAAGCTGCTTTAACCCTACATCATTTCATTGTCATGCCATTAAAAGATATTTTCTCTCTTTCCTTTTGTGCCAGATGTTCCTCCCATAAATGAGCACTGCTTGARTAGTGAGATTTCTCTCTTTCCCTGTCTTTAAACAATCTACTTAACTGAAAGACTGTCACCATGAATAGCTGCTCTGTGTCTGTGGTGTTTTGGCACCGTGGGCATCCCACTGTGTTAGATGTTGCACAAACATGGAGTAGAAAGAGTCTGCATCCCAAAGAGCTTACAGTCAAAGTATAAAACTGGTAGAAGCTTTTGTGTGGCTTGCTAATGTAACAATACTTCAAATGCTCAAAGTTTTGGTATAAGTAGAAAGTAATGCAGAAATTGCTTTAAGAAGATGCTGATCATAATGAAGTGCCTTAGAATAAAAGAGAGAGAAACTTATACATATTAATTAACTCTTGGAGGTCAAATATTATCTCTATATACCTATTCAAGCTTGATGTCTTGGTTCGGGTGATTTGTACTGATCCGACAGCTTGACAGTACTTTCTACTTCGCTAGGACTTGAAAAAATCCATCCGACGGTCAACAAAGAAGAAAAAAAGAACAATTGCAGATGAATCGGCTGAAAATGTTATTGACTGGTGGTCAAAATACTATGCTTCTGTGCTCAAAATGCAAAAAGTAAGTCATTCAGCATCTCAAAACTCACATATGTGAGCAATATTATAAAATAGATCTACAGCTAAATGAGTCTTCTTTTTTTTTCCTATTACATTCATACTAAGGAGTTTGTTCATCATCTTTTTCTTTTGAAAGGCAAAACGACTTTTTTCCAATGAGGGAAAACCTGAGAACAGTGAGTGAATTGTTCTAATTTTGTATTACTAATACTTTGCATCTCTGCTATGTTACTATTCACAATAAATACCTGATCCAGAATTATGCAGTAAGATCTTCTCTGCGGCTTATCAGATGGTGGGAACATTAAAACTTCATAGGCAATACTGAGTTAACATTAAAATCTCATGCACAAATATTTGCAGATTCCATGTCCTAGATGATGGAAGTGAAGATTATTGTAACAAAGGTTACATAACAGATTCAGAAAAAAAACCCCAATTTTTTTCTATTTTGAATTCGACTTAGGATCAATGACAGAGAAACAAATTCCACTAGGAGTGTCCAAGGGTCTAACTCCCATAACTGCTAAGATTTAGGTCTATTTTAGGGTTGAGAGGAAAACATTATGTATAAGAAGCTAAAATAATTTGATTCTCTGTGTGTGTGTCTGTGTGCGTAATATATACAGCCAGAATGAAGTATTCCAAGGCTTAACATACCCCTCACAGTGAAACAGAGCTCGAGCAAGTTGTGTTGACTAATACAACTACTTTAGCGGACTGAGAAAGGAAACAAATGTTCAGTGTTTGCACACAGTTTCCATTCAGGCTTAAGAAATAGCACATTTCTATGCCAGGTCTGACGGTACTTCACCAGAGGTGAAGGGATTTCTATTTTAAAGAAATTGTGGAGATTGCTCTGAATGGAAGACTCAATCTAAATGTCAGATTTTGTATTCTGGAAATGGAAGCTCACAGTGTTCCAATGATCTCCAGGGCTGCTCAGAGACAAGACACAGATGAGTGTCTAGGCAGAGCTCACTTTCCAATAGGGGAGAAATATTTACATAGAAAATATTGTACAAAGGTGTAATTTTCAGTCACAATTAGATTTTTGCTTGATGTTGTAACATCCACCCACATGTTATCCAGGCAGTCATGTCAGGTTTTCTTGACTGATTACTTCAGACCTTGTAATATCTCTTCTAAATTTCTTTCTTTAAGCTGTGTAGCTTAACCTATGAACATGTGTTATGCATATATGACAACACTGAGATACAGATATATTTCTAAATATTTGCTGATATTGGTGTCAAAGATATGAACAGCTTGAAAAAACAAAAGTGAACTGATCTCAAAATCCAGACCTCAGCCCCAGAACTGAAACATAATGGAATCATCTCTGAGGGTCTATCTTGTTTTTATTGGGAAGCCCTCTCCCAGTTTGGACTCTGGCTTGAGGCTGATCAGACATTTCCTTCTGTTTCTCATAATGCTGGATTTATCTAGAACATTTGACTGGCATCCATCACTAAAAACCTCAATAGTGTCATGACATTTCTGCAGATAAGCAGATTTCTGACCACATTGCACTGAATGTAGAAGAGGAACCCGACAAAAAGAAGAAAGATAAGATGGTCAGAAAGAAACTGAAGGAAGAAGCTCCCAGCCTTGCAACACTGAAGGTAAGAAAGAAGGTAACAGGTAAGGATGCTGTCTCCCCAAAGCTTGCCTGCAGGGACCGAGTTAAATATTGCTCTCACACATATTTATTTCAAATAATTTGAAAAAAACACAGAATAATAGTGGTGGTACACATCAGTGTATGGGATCAGGAGAGCCAAGGCCATGTAGACTCACTTGGCCTTCAGTTCACCAGCACAGAGGTAGATATTGAGACTCAGGCCCAATTCACTTCTGGTGCTCTCCTTCTGTAATATACTTAATTGTTACTAGCATTAATTCACTGAATATCAGACTTTTCTCCCCTCTTCTCCATTGAAGTGATGTTTGGAATATAATTAATCAAATGTATCTCTGTAACGTGAAAGCACTTTGCTATCCAATTCCCGTAATTGTTTTAATAGTTTGGCTTAAAAATATCTTTCCTGGAATAGTGCCAGCACTGAAATGCAGTTGCTGGGGCAGGTCATTTTGGAAAGGTTGCAGGTTATTAAGAACGACTTAAAAGAATTATGGAAAACATTATTGCCAGGGCATCCTCCCTGACGGTGAGGCAATATTCAGCCCATGTTAGATAAACTCGAGCAGCAGCAGAATGCATTCAAAGTAAATGTCAGGGATCAGACAAACTGACTAGAGAGATGTGGAGGTCTGAAAAGCTGAGGACTGCTTGGATTAGATAGCAGCTGAATAAAGGAGAGTTTGAAACAGCTGTCAATACAGCTTCCATTTTCAAAGGATGGCATTAAATTAGGCCCCTCACCTTCACACTGAATAACCCTTCCTAAATTACAAGTAGTGAGAGGAGGACAGAATTGTCATTTTAAATGCTCTTCAGGCTTTTTACCCATGATAAGGCTCTCTCCCCACAACACTTCGTCATTGTCTCTTTTGTTGTCATGTTATGATACATTAACAAAACAGTCCAAAAGAATAAGTACATCACAAGTGTGGTGCAGAGCCTTCTCTGGAAAGAAAGAACAGCCATCTGCCTTGCTTTTTACCCAAACCCGTGCTTATAAATATTCATTTTGGCCCTTCTACAGCCACTTTTATCTGCTGCATTAATGCTCTGTTCCAGGAGTTGGGCATGCCATYGGTTAAGAACAAAAACTCCCGTTTTATGTGTGGAATGGACTATTTTTCCTCAAGGGGTTTCGTAAAACCTCGGTTTTATTAAAACCTGTATTTTGTGTCAAAACTGGATTTCAAGTCATTCTGTAATAAAACAGCTGCTATAAATACATTCACCACATCACCAAAAAGAAGCATTCTCTTATTTTCAAAGATTTATGAAGGAGACCTGGAGAGTGAATTTAATAACTTTGAAGATTGGGTGAAAACTTTCCATCTCTTAAGAGGAAAATCTAATGATGAAGTTCATGCTGAATCTGAGGACAGAATAATAGGAAAATTTAAGGTGAGCTCAAATGCTGATTAGATGTGTGATAATTTAAACCCCGTGTATATTTTCATGCATATTTCAGATATCCTGAAGTGAAAGACAAAGACACTGACAGCCTGTTATAAATAGGCTCTTTTACTGGATCTAGAGTCCTATTTTTCCATTCACATTATCTCATAATTGAAAACAGCATCCAAATCCAGGTACTCATTGTTGTTTTGAAATAAGAAATTGCAAAAAAGTTTTCATCATAGAGAGTGGGAAATAGACATAGTCTGTAGTCCAGATTCTACTAATGCAACTTCATTTCTACACTGTCAGATATAGTTCTTTGCATGTAGTTTTGAATAATTTAAATGAAGGCTCTTCTAGCTGYTCCATTTGGAGACAAGTGCACAGCCTGATCCAGGACACCATTAAGCAATCTGCAAATGTATTTCAAAGTATAAATAATGTTAGTAAGGCTTCAAGCACTTCATACTTTAGAGGAATGAGTATCTTAAGCTCATTAATACCTCAGCTAGTTTGCAATGCAAATTTCTCTTCAAATGACTTGCCAGTTGCTTTCAGGCAGTATGATCTACTCAGAAGCATGAGTCAATATTGATTTAAATGGTTTGTATAGTGACTGCAAAAATATAGGTCAATCTGGGCTCCAATCAGACTGAACCCAACTCAGTGGAATTACAAAATTACAAATGCTCCATTAAGAGACAAATGTTTTCTTTAGAATACCAATACTTAGAAAAAATAGACTTGCACCTGCAGCAACTATTTCATTTAACAAAACAGAGAGTCAGGAGCCTGCAGCTAATTCTTGCAGTGACTGAGAAGCAATAATGAGTAGTAAGTTATAGTAGTGATATATTTAAAAAGATCAGGCCTAGTACATCGAAYCTATGTTCCCTTCCAATTGTTTTTTTGCATTGCGCTTGATGTATTTTAAGTGAAAATAAAACACATTATGTTCCCAGGGTTGTCTGTGCATATACCCAAGCCCTGAGGACTCCAGTGTGCTGGAGGGAGGGCAGCCCCGTGTTCTGCAAGGGATACCACCAAACCACTCTGTGAAAGTCCTCATCAGGGTGTACATTGTGGCAGTAAGTAGACATATTCTCTTGAACTTTCAAATAACTTCTGGGTTGCTTTTGAACTCAGATTACATTTGGTCTAGCAGTGGAGAACCTCATCTGTGTTACATATTTTCAGTTGTATTTCAGACAATAACTATTATATTCTTATAATATCCCTAGTAATATTCCTAAATATTAGGAAGTATCCTAAACTATTTCAAATTTTAAGGATGGATGTTTAGAAGAGAAAGTATCCATTCCTTACAATAAATCATGAAGATGCTGGCTCAGTCTGAAGAAATGCTTTGCTTCTTCAAACTGAAGGAGCTAGAGCTATACTTAATGTAATACAGACAACCTGTTCCAGTCACGTTATGTAAAGTTTTAATCAGGAGAGTGGTTTGATTTTGTTGTGTAAATACAACATTCTCTGCAAGGTGCAAGTGGGAGAATATCTTGTGAGGGCTGTGAATTGGGAGAAACCAAAATAGTAGGTGTTCTGGAAAAGGTACTGGGGGCACAGAGAGGGAGAAATACAGAGGACCAAACACTGAAGAAACACAACATAAAAACTGAAAGAAGAAAATGGAAGGGGATGGGTATTTCAGAGGAACAGGCGATTCAGATGGTCTAAGAGGGAGGAGGAATGGTGGGTAAAGAGGAGATAGCAAACAAATCCAGTGAGAAGGATGGGAAGAGTTTATTTATTTCCTGAGTGTAAAGTCTTCCTTGGTATCTCCTAGATACAGCGGGCCAGTCCCAGAAGCAGTTTTATACTGTTCAAAGATCTGGTCCACTCTTTATGGAAACCTTTCCTGCATCCCACATACATGAGTGCAGCCAGCTTCTTCCTCAGTGTTGCCTCTCCCTCTCTCACCTGTTTTTCTTTTAACAGTGGTGGTCTCTGGAGATAGGGCTTGTATCTTCTCCACCTTTAGGAACCCTCTCTTCCTCCAGATCTTTCCCCAATAGCCTACAAACCTAAATGCCAGAATCTGTATGACACCAGGCAAGCTGGGCTTCACCCCACACTTCCAGGACACCCTAGAACCTTTGGGGAAGCCTRGAGTTCTCTGCAGTCACCAAACTACCTTCAACCAGGCCTCTTGACGACACAGTCTTTCTTCTTAACAGGCATTTAACCTCAGTCCTGCTGATCCAGATGGCAAGTCAGATCCCTACATTGTGCTGAGACTGGGCAAAACAGAAATTAAAGACAGAGAAAACTATATCCCCAAGCAGCTAAACCCAGTATTTGGAAGGTCAGTGATGGCTTCATATCATTTCCAGTAGATTTCTGCTTTGTCGCTTGCCACCACTGCTGCTGTTGCAAGCACYGAGTGCCTGTTACATGCTGATGTCTGCCCACTCGAATGCTTTATAAGGGTACTGATTAAAATGTTGAGAACTGGTGTCATCTTGTATGATTATAATTTACTCAATWTTCATGACAGCCAAAACAACACATCCTGAAATGCAATCTGTAACAGGTTTTATAAATGAACGCATGAGAGGAAATGAAGCAACAAATGATCTACTTTGCTCAAATTAATGCAACTGTAGAGTGAAATAAATATTAGCACAGCAAAGTCCGATTTCAAAATATTTATTGACCTTTCAAGTTGAAAAGAGTGATAAATAAATCTCATAAATTGTAGGATTAGACCAAAATACTAGGCTTTTGATAATCCCCAGACTTCCAAATGTGAGAGCTAGGGATAGGCTCTCAGTAAAAAACAATTTTGTTTATCAAATGCTCTCTCCTTCTTTCATGTGTTTATTCTACTAGCTATGATATTTTTTTTCTGTAAGTTTGCCTCTTTTAAGAAGGACAAAAATATTTGGAATCAAGATGGAATTATTCTACCAGAACATTAGTATATAGAATTAGTTAGACTGCAATGCCTCTATACCAGTGTTTAAAGAAAAAATGTAAGCAGAAAAGACAAAAATAGAGCAGTCCTTCAATATCTTAACCTCTGAGTTTCTGTGATTTAAGCTCTCTTAGTAGGCTGCAACTGAACCATCATGGCTGATAAACCTTAATGCCTAGATGGAATGGGCAATTGCCTGCTTGCTTTGCTCCAGATGAGATAGGAATTGGTTATTAACTTGGACAGCCCTTGCTTTGACTGCTGCTGCTGGAATATCAGCAACCGCAATGAGCTGTCCCTGCCCTCGCAGCCCTGGGATCGATCAGCACGGACCCACAGTCACCCCAGAGCCTTCATTCCTTTGCCCTCCACAGCCCGCTCTGCTGCTGCTACAGAATTGGGGACTGAACTCCTCCTTCAGGAGACAAAGCTTAATTTTGCCTTGCCTTGGAGAAACCTGGAATAAACACTGTGCGATGCCTCTGTCTTCCATTAATTTATCAAATCCCCTTTAAAAGTCTCTTTGTATTTTCAGCTGCTTTATACCTCTCAGGACAGTTATTGACACCACTGAAGTATGCACTGAATGAAAAGGAGAGTCATTTCTTTGAAACTTGTTTTAAAAGTTTTGCTTGGTCATTTTGTTGATTGTCACCAGATTCCTATATTCAAAACAGGATCTGGAGATTTTAGAAGAAAACAGAAAGCACCAAAGCCTTTTGGTGTTCCAAAAAAAAMCCCATGCAAGTACCTCATACAGACCACTTCTTTAACCTCATAAATTTCTTGCTTTCACCTCCATTGGAAGGATACAATCTCTTCAGGATAAACCAGTGCTGCTGACCAGCTCCCTCCAATTGCTCTGCTTGCTGTAGCTGGGAGCAAGCTTTGAACTGTAGCAGGAGGATGGAGAAAAGCAGGAGAAGGAAATTGCTTTTGCTCTGCATGTTTACAGTATGTTCAGATATTTCATTAAAAAAGCATGATCTTCCAAACCACACTGCCCTTTAAATAAGACAGTTTGCAGGGTGTGCGTATTGTCTACATGTTGTTTGCACAATATTCATTACCTTAATCTTTGCTTAAATTTTTACCTAAAAAACAATTTAACTAGCATGTGTTTCTCAAATTTTGCTGCAGATCATTTGAAATCCAGGCTACTTTCCCCAAGGATTCCTTGCTCACAGTCCTGATCTATGACCATGACTTGGTGGGAACAGATGACCTCATTGGAGAAACTAAAATTGATTTGGAAAATCGTTTCTACAGTAGGCATCGAGCAACCTGTGGGTTGCAAAGTCAATATGAAATGTAAGTTCTTCAGTCTGCCACAGAGAGCAGCACATAATGCATGAGGTACTTGAAGAGAGATTTCCAAATGTGGYCAAATATTGTGCTTTCTCCAGCACAAAAGTCATAGCAGGTAGTTTAATTGAATTTTACCACAATGTTCAGCATTGGCTTTGGGTAGCCACCCAATGTGAGCACGGGGTACGTGGGTATTTTAAATTTAATGCCACTGTTGTTTCATGAAATTTTGAAATGGCAAACAGTCTTTGTGTCACTTCTCTTCTTGATAAACTTCCTTTGGACTGACTGAAAGCACAAGGACAAATAATATGTCAGAGAAGCTGTGGAAGGGCTCAAGTCCGTCCTCCACTCCTCCACTCCTCAACTGTAACTGGAATAATTGCAGCAAAGCCTGTGCACTCTGGCACACACACCGGGTGACTGGAAGCCACTCCAGGCTGCTACTCTTGCAAGGCCATTGTGCACAGCAGGTTGATAATGCAGAGAAAATCAAACCAAAATAGCCCCATCACCCTGAGATTGGGGCACTTTCCTAGGAGATGAGAGTTTGGGGCTCTTTTCCTACAAATGGAGCACACCAGTGACTGGGACATTTTATCTGAGCTAGGATTTCTCTCCATTCTCACCTCCATCCTTGCAGAGAAGGGTACAATGCATGGCGAGATGCAACCAAGCCAAGCGAAATCCTAACTAAGCTGTGTAAGGACTACAGAATAAGCGGGCCCTTCATGAGGCCTGGAGAGATACAAGTAGGAACAAAAGTCTTCAAGGGACAGACGATCTTCACTGAAGATGAGAATGGTAATGAAGTAGTTTACTGTACTTTGTTTGCATTTATTGCAGTACCTAGAGGCTGCCCCAGCTGCAGCTGGRGTACCACTGTGCTGTAGACACTGATATTTGATTACTAGAATAAATTTCTGCTCTGAAATACTTGKATAGCTGTGATAATAAAAGCAATGTCTATGTTAACTACCAGTGAAGCTTAATGAGAGAGTATCTTACAGTGAAATCTCTTTTGATAAGGAATTGTCCTCCACATGGTGGTGATGGGGGTTCTTTGACATAGCTGCTGTCTGGTCCCAAGAATGGAGTGCCCAGGAGCAGTTGTAGGATAGAGGATGCTCTTGGAATGTGTCTTCATTTGAAAGAACTGTATCTAGCAGGCTCTGACACTGCTCCACATGATAAAGGAAAGCAGGAGAAGACAGGATAACTGGAGTCTCTTCAAGATTCACTCCCTATCTGAACTAACACACTAGTGTAGACATACCTAAGCAGTGTGAAGATGATAAGCATGTCCAGAGGTAGAGTCATTCAAGATCATAGAAGTTTGGTGCACAGTTCGGTTCCAGGCCACTTACCGTCTGGTTCTACCTTACCTAACTGGCATTTCCTCTCTTGGTTGTTATTCTCCTCCTCCCGATTATTACTATTCCAACTGCTCTTTTTTAAGTGCTAATGTAAAGTGCTGTGTAAATCCAAGTATTTGGAGATCCATGAATCCAGAGGGAAGAATAGAAGCTGCTTTCTGAGCTCCCAGATTAAAAGAAAGGCAGTTGAGTGCCAACAAGCTGAGTGCCCATATCACACATAGGGTGGAGTGAGACTGGGTCATCAGTGATTCAGTTCTATACTTACAGTAAGTAAAAGGTTGGTGAGGATAGTGGGAACAAAAGGAGCTAGAGACAGTAGTGGACACTGGAAAACCAAGAAGGTAAGGACCTTGGAGAGAGTAGTGGCAGCATAGGGCAACCTATACTTCTCACTGCTTTGCATATATCCTTTGGTCAAACTCCTTTTGATAGAATAAAGCATAGTTCACACCTGCCTCAGGTAGCCCTGTTGGAGCAAGAGGAGTTGATCTATTTTTAGCTCTTTGGCCAGATGTTTTATGACTACACTATTCCTGTTAGTTTTCTTCTCTGGTATAGCAGGAAATGTAACTGGTGGCAACAGGATCTGTAGGTGAAAATTCTGGTTCACTAAAATGCACTTCAGACCCATCAGCATTGGACAAGATGCGAAAACCAACAGCAAGGAAATGCAGAGACAGATGGCAAGCCTACCTTCTGAAAACTTGTGTACACAAGTTTTTCAACAGGTTATAAAAAATAGGATACAGTATTCTCTTCATCCAAACCGCTTTTCTGACATGTCTGTCTTAGGCCTGGTCTGGTCTGAAAAGTCTCATCTATCCATAAGCATTGGGAAGAAATAGCTTTCTTGAGAGGGTGAAAACTGTCCTTAGAAATGTGTTTGTGACAAATGGAGTCCATTATAAAGGGGCAGTCTATCCTTCTTGTCATTGGAGTCTTCCTGACTAATCAGCTCTGTCTAAAATTCTTGGTTTTAGCTGGCTAAAATTAGATGCAATACATGACATTTCAAATGCATGCCAGTATTCATAGGTGGGACAGCTCTTAATAAGCATAGGTTAATAAGCTACCTCCATCTCAGTAGTATTAGGAAGTGCTTAATATTTACTATTTCTATCTGAAACAAACCCTTTGTCATCAACACGATAAGAAAAGTGTAAACTGCTTTGATAACACAGAGATCGTTCCTTTTAACTTAGGTATTTATCTTCTAATTCAGGAAAGATCCTCTCTTCAGATCACTAGGTTCTTGTATAACACAAAAGAGAGGAAGAGCTAAAAGGCTTTCTCTCTTTTTCAATATCTGCTTTGTCTTCACTGATTGGACTGTTCCTTCATGGATATGTCCTTCTGGGTCTCCTCTTCCAACAGTGGCCATGTTTCTCGGGAGGAGACATGCCCTTGCCCATGATGTTCAGCCCTCACATCTCTGCTCCTCAACTGAGGTGTGGTTTGCTTCTCCAGGGGGCCTCTGCTCTTGTCATCACAAGGCAAAATGAGGTACAGACACAACCTTCAGTGTCTAATTACTGAAAGCTCCATCAAAGTCCAAGTCTCATTGTCTTTCATGAGCCATAAAAAAAGTCTCATATTTGCAGTTATCTGTATGAGGAAGGGAAGTTACACAGAGTGCTTCCATCTCCTTGTCAGAAGCAGTTGCTGTAACAGTGAAATGATCCATTGTATTTTACGGATTAACTACCACCTAAGCGTTAATCTTCTAGTTTTTCCAGTGGGTACCCTATTTATGGGAATTAAATGTGTTTTAAGATCTCTTTCTTTTTAGTTTAGATACATAAAAACTTCCTTTTAACTCAAGTGGAATTTTAATGACCATCTTTAATAATTAATAGAACATATTGCCCAGGGATCTTAAATGCTAATTCAGCTCTGATTGTTCTCTTTCTTTTGCTCTTTCCCATAGAGGAGCCAGTTGAATCATATGAACATCTCTCCCTAAAGGTTTTACGTGCTTGGGATGAAATCCCTGGAGTTGGATACAAGCTAGTTCCAGAGCACATTGAGACTCGGCCCCTCTTTCATAAAGATAAACCAGGCATGGAGCAGGTAGGACCACTTAGAGGATGGTGGTATCCTAGGCCTAAGAGCAGTCTTGCTCCACCTACTCTGGTTTCTGTTAGTATCAGCAGACTGACAGAACATTACAGCTTTCAGCTATTATGTCCTACAGGAGTCTGTGCACAATATCAGCCTGGAAATGGTCACATACACCCACACAGTGAGCTACCTAGTCACACAATAGCAATGAATGGCTATTGGTATTTAAAAAGCTGGGTTAACTCTACTGTATGGGATCTGTGAAAAGTGGGAAAATTCTATATTTTCCAAGATACAGGAATAAGAAAGAATGTTTCTTTCTTTTCTCAAGGGTCGCGTGCAGATGTGGGTGGACATGTTTCCTACAGATATGCCTCTGCCAGGACCTCCGGTGGACATTTCACCAAGAAAACCAAAAGGGTAACAACCTATGTATTTATCACAAGATGATGGAATAAATCTTCAAGGAATGAGTTTGTCTTAGGTGTCTGGAAAGAACTATTAAATGAGTTATCATCACAAATTTATGTGGCCCTAAGAAGACTTTCCTTTGATGTGCACAATTTCAAATTGAAAGAGAACATCTAGTGTGCTCCATTAAATAAGTCAGGAATGGTTGGCAATTTTTGCATCAAGGTCTATCACATTTCTTTTAGGAAGAGATCCCCTTTTTAATAGGATTTAAAATAGCTACAGAAAGAGTCCCTTATAATTCTGATATTATCACCTATTTTCTGAGCTAAAAGGAGTAGTTCTGTTTTCATTACCTATTTCAGCCATACAGAGTGCTTGACCACTGGCCGAAATCTTTATCCTGGTGCAGCAGCTTTGTACCTATTGGAATTCCAGCACGTGGTTCAGAGATAAACTCAAGAAACATATAGATCAGAAGCAGAGTGAGATGCATTTGAAATATCAAGTGCTCTTATTTCAGATGGATACAGTTCTAGATTTGTATGCAATATTATACAGAGCTCTTCAAACTAATTAAATGTTTGCAAATGATAAAAAAGACAAATAGAATTCTGAGCTGTTTCCACATCAGCTTTTTTTCCAATATTGTAACAAGTTTTTTGGGGGGAATTTTATATCTGAAGCAACATCAGATATTTTGTTTTGACAAAACCAAGAGTCTGTGTAACAATTACTTTCTTCAGACTAGAACTTTCTGTAAAGTACCTTGACAATAGACATTTGCCAAGACCAAAAAAAAAAAAAAAAAAGTAATACTCACTAAAGCTGAAAAAAAAAAGGAAAATATTGCTAAACCATTAGTTCTCAGGGAGAAGATAAGCATGCAAACAAGGGCTTCATGTTTTGCAGAGAAGTGCAGATGTGATGCAGCAAAACCGTTTGCAGGCTCTGTAGGATGCTTTTTGAAAACATATCTTGTCAGTGATCTTAGGCTAAACCAGGGTCTTCTAGAGCCTTGGAGAYGGAAATCCTCCTTCTCTAGGGTAGAGACCTACAAGAGCTCAGGATGCCTCTCTGATGCAGTCCTCATGGCAGGACTGACTGCARCTGCTCAGAGAGGATACCTGGTAGCTTCTGGGGAGAATTGTTGTATCTACCATATCTATCTATATATTGTTATATCTGTGAGCGTATGTCCAAGACAGCACATGCCATTTTAGAAAAATCCTATGTCGTTGTTTCCAAACATATCAGAGCACCTGATGACTACCATACATGTAGATAAGTTTAGATAAAAAAGTTTAACTCCTTTTATTGCTGTTCCTAGAGAGGATGGTTGAACTTTTTCACTGCAAGTATTTCTGAGCAGCACTTCCTTTGCCTTTTAATCCACTGGATTGCACAGAAAACCATATTTTTTAGATATTTCTTCAGAAAAGCATCTCCCAGAGAATTCTGGGTTTTATTAGCTCAGTTTATTAATTAACTTCTAGAGGCTGCTTTGCCCAGTTTCACTGCAGCATTTTTGTGAACAGCACTGAAAAGGAACATGCAGGTAAAAAACCAAGGACTCTTCCCCTCCTCCAAAGCTGGCAGTGATGCCTCCTGCACATCCAGAGAGCTGAGAGGAGTCATTGCTTCTGTTTTGTCACTAGACATTCTAATGAACAGAGGGGACCTGAGGAGGATCGTGCTTTAAGAGATTTGTGCAAGTACAACATTTCTCCATTATAAAAACACAGCATGTTTTTTCACCAGTGTCTGACCATAGCTTATTGACACAAAGATCTGCTAAAAAGGAAAAAAAAAAAAAAAAAACCCTTTGCTAGTGTGATCTTAAACTATACAAAATGCTGTTTCTTTCTTTTCCAGATATGAACTGAGGGTAATAATCTGGAATACAGAGGATGTAATTCTAGAAGATGAAAATATCTTTACTGGGCAAAAATCAAGTGATATCTATGTAAAAGGGTAAGCATTTCAGGATGCTACCATCATACCAATGCTGCTTGTTCCTTGAAAGGATAAATAATACATGGGTCGAAATCAGTCACAAAAAATACACTGTGAGAATATACCATAAGCTTTTTCTTTATTCTAAATTCCCATTCAAATTAACCATCTATTTTAGAAACTTCATCAATTTTTTGCTCTTAAAATCAAATTACTATAAAATGCCATTAATCCTTACTTCTGGCCCAGGCACTGGCAGCATAAGAGAACTGAGCTCAGAGTTTAGCAGAGCTCAAATGCAGATTTTGAATGATGACAGCTTATACAGATGCAGAGAGGTAGAAATCAGAGAAAAATGAGAGGTAGAATGAGAGAAAAAAAATATGACTATATTTTAAAAAGGAAGCAGTTGTATCCCAAGATATTCCTATGGGAAATTCTTTCTAACCCATCACTCCTTATATGGTTGAGTGACCACGAACAGAGTGGGGAGGATGTTACATCAGCACCTACTGCTCTCCCTCTGGATGCTGCCACCATCTAAAAGCCTGTTTCAGCTCCAGAGCAATTACTGTGATGATCAGGAAAAGGGAAGGAATTCACTTTTAGAAAATGAAGAGAGAATGAAAGTGGAGTCTTGAATAAGCTCCTCCGTGATATTGCAACGCATTACTGCTTAAAATTGCTTCCTTTTTCAGAGTACTACTTTGCAATATCAGGACTTGAATGAAGGCATCAGAGAGTGGGGAGGGAGAAATTGTCATGTAGTGGAAGCACAAAGTATCAAAAATCTCCACTGAGCCCTAGTCTTGCATTTCTTGCTGTATTTCTATTGTTAGAGAGTGAGAGGATTTTACTGACACAAATTTCCAGGATGCAGGACACATGGAAAAGTGAATCTCCTGCTTGCCACCTCCTGCATTGCCAAAGAGTGGACACGAGAGGTGCAGGAGGGGCCCTASGACTGACCTGGCTGGGTGCGGGTGAGGAGGGTGTTTTCCACTTTGCCTGTTCTGACAGTCAAATGAACATAGTAAGAAAGGCAAAATAAGCATAAGGACAGAGCAGGCTGGTAGCAGCTCATTCCTCCCATAGGGCACCAGGAGTGGTGCCAGTCCTTTGTTGTAGGTGAAACCAGCTCGTGCAAGGTGCCCTAGCACAGCCACACGGCTCCAAGGTGCTATGAACGTGGTTCCTGCACGGGCTGGCCAAGCAAGCCCTCCCTGGCAGGTCCTTCAGTGGTGTTTAATTTGAAATTACTTGTGTTCACACAGATATATCCACCTTAACATTAAACTAATGCATTCAGCAAAGTAGCAGAGCAGTTGAGATAACACCAAACTTGAGAAAATAGCCAGGTAGTCCCTTCGAGCTGAGCCGCCCCACAGTGTGAGAGCATTGCTGACTGCATGGGAGCTGGCAGATAAGGAGAACCAGGAGGATAAAACTTTATTCTTCTGTGCCTTAATGATGAAGACATAAATCTCAGTRTGTTCAGGTAGCTCACTTAGCAGCCCTGGCACCAGAATCTGCTACCGGGCACGGATTTGCACAAAGGACTGTGATGTGCTTGGGATTGTTACCATCTTTTACCAGTATTTTTTGAAATAATGGGGCTTGCAGGGAGGTGGCCCATTTTTTGGCTGTACTGCAAAGAAATTTAATCTGTACTCAAGCTGTAATAAATCATTCTCAGACCTGAAGCATACATAGCTGGATCATTACCTTCAGAAGAGAGGATAATGTATGCTTAGGAAAGCATTGTCCTTTTGTAACATATCGCTGCACATCAGAGGTTGTTCACACTGGATCAGAAAACAAGAGGAAAAAATACAGAACTAAAACTGCAGAGGCTTTGCCAGCCATATTTATGCCATGCTCACATTCTTGAACTGCAAGTGCAAAAAAACTTGGACTGCTGGCACTTAAATCAGCCCTGGGACACTGACACAAAATTTATTAGCATGGTACAGCATGAATAGAGTGTGATTAGTAAAGAATATAAAAATAATGCTCTCTTTGCTGGCCAAAACARGACAGATCTCCTAGGCAAGAGTAAATGACCACATAGATTATTTTTGTGTCTCATCTGGATAAAATTCATGATCTTACTCTCGAATTTTGATCATCACTGGCCATGGCTGTGTCCTGTGCGACAACTGGGAGGTCACTGAGACCTCTGAGCCACGGTCATCACTGCCCTGCTGCAACCCTGAGCTCTGCTGTTACTTCCTCCTGACTGAGGAAGAGCTAAGAAATGATCACCCTTGTAAGTGAACRCTAAAAATCACAATTCAGGCTCCTCTAGGGACTGCCATGTATTCAACTATGTGTTTTCCATAGGTGGATAAAAGGCCTGGAAGAGGATAAGCAGGAGACAGATGTTCACTACAACTCTTTGACGGGAGAGGGGAACTTCAACTGGCGCTTTGTCTTCCCCTTCCACTATCTCCCAGCTGAGAAACAAATGGTGGTTAGTAAAAGAGAAAACATATTTTCCTTGGAAAAGACAGAGCGCAAAATACCTGCTGAGCTGGTGCTTCAGGTCTGGGACTTTGAAAGACTTTCTTCAGATGATTTCTTGGGTAAGTATGCAAAGAAACTGTCTAAACTTCAGCTGTTGTTTCCCCACATGTTTATTTTATAGAAGGACATACCAGTAGGTATCTGCGACTCAAAATTTGCTTGTATTTCTCTGAAGTACCAAGCTACAAACTTATGCCATTTCTTGGAGACTAAATAGCTAGGAACTTGTATGAGACAGTGTTAAGGCAACATAAATGAATGGCAGATGATGTAGAAAGCTTTGCAGTTAAGCAGCATGGGCCCAAGCTGCTCTATCGCTCTGCATATCTTAGCTGGAAACTGTTGTTTGTTTGAGTATTTTTGTGTCTGTTTGGTCTCTGAGTTTTGTTGCATTACTTCCCCCTCTAGGCACTCTTGAAATGAACCTGAATGGGTTCCCTCGAGCAGCCAAGACAGCCAAGAGCTGTGACCTAAACATGGTTGTGGCAGTAAGTGAAGAAAACAAGATCTCCATATTTCAGCAGAAGCGTGTCAGAGGCTGGTGGCCCTTCATCAAGGCTGGGGAGCTCACGGTAGGCAGCTCACTAGAGAGTTATAGAAGCTTTTCTCTTGGATTAATGTACTTTGCTGAGATCCTGAAACAAGACAGATACTAATAGCAATCCATGGGACTTCTAAATGCTTCAGTAGTTCTCTGTAGATTAGGTTCAATTGATCTCAGGCAACCAGAGCACTTCATATTTCTCTTYTGCTTCCTTCTATTTCTCATCTCTCAACATACTGAATGGGTAGAGCGGAGAAGCAGGTGTTTCCAGCCAACTTCATGTCAACTGAGGAATCCATGGGAGAAATCTCATCTACTTAATTAATTTCTTTTCTACTTATTTCACCCTTTAAACAGGGTAAAGAACCTGATCCATTACACTTCTTGTTAGTGACACATCTCAAGTGGAAAGTACATGGTCTACTGTTCTTGAAGTGTGCTCCCTAAGCCAATTATTACTTTGTTTTAATGGAAGACAGAATCCAAAGGGAGAAGACAGCTTCCCCAAAGCTGGAGTAACAGGCTTTTCAAGAGGTCTTTTCAGATCAATTGCTTTGTAATTTAGGAAGTGGAAAAGGTTTTATAGGTCCAGATGAAACTATGCTACCTCCATTTCCTTGTGGTCTTTGAATATATGTTAGGAATTTGCTGTCTATTTCTTTTTCTTTTCTTTTCTCTTTTCTTTTCTTTTCTTTTCTTTTCTTTTCTT